GTCGAACAAGTACTGTCCTTAGAGGTCGCTTATGCAACATCTAATGAAGTGTGTCTCCATTGAAAATATTTCAGGTGGAACAAATTTTCTCTCGTCATGGATTTCTTCTATGACTAGGAGCTCAGGACAACTTGTACAAAAAAGTAATTTATTGTTTTTTATAACTTGGCATTAAAAAGGTCTGATTTATATAGGACAGGTGAAAATGATATAGTGTATATGATATGTTTATAAGTAACTCAATGAAATAAACTATTCCGCGATTTATGACAGAAACAATATTGGCGATACAAACGAAATTATGACCTAGTGACATCTATGGACATGAACTAAAACAGGTTGTTACACGACCTTTCATACCGAAAAAGATCAATGATATTAAAAGATATAAGATATCAGGAAAATAGAATACGCTTTGTCAAAACTTAAAGTCAGACACGATTTATCAATACATTTTATTTCTAATGTTTATTGTCTGTGTTGATTACAATTGACGTTGTAATAAAAATCGAGGTTTATATCAAACACAGTATCATCAGCAATATGTACGTAGTTTGAGGTAAATACAGTTATAAAGTTTTTACCTTATTAAAGTCTACACAATTACATATAAACTAGAAAATATTAGTTTTCTGAACAGATACATCGTTTTCTATCTGAACTCAATGCTAATTCCTATTTAATTGTTGAGGGTCAGGGAACTACACGAATAACACCCGCTACAATCGAATACACTATTCACTTTTCTGGACAAAGCTATTATATGAATATCTATGTACAATTGCGACGGTGTTAGAATTTTAAAGCATATTGATCTCAAGTGTCATCCTCTAAGATACTTATTCACCGAGACGAGGCAAAATGGTGCCCCACTATTTCATAAATATATTCTGTAAGGCAATATATATTGATGAGTGATATTCAGTGACGTGTTAAAGTTGGTTTCAATAAATTTTTGTCAACATTTTTTAATAACACATATATCCATGAAACGCTAGCGTTGCATTTTATTGTAAAATGAATAAAGTTTAAAGTTTTGGGGTGGACATGTTAAATTACAAATGCTGTACAGCAACAGATGAATAGGCATACACATCAAATCACAAACAAAGATATTAGATCTTTTGCACTCGACATTGGCATCGTGGTTTCCACTCTAAGCAACAAACCTGTACTATTTGTTTACATTTTCACCACAGTCACAATAGCGACAACAGCTCTCGTAGTAGTAGTATCCTGAAATATGCAGCAGCCAGTCATAGGAGAAGGAGTTTCTAGGAAGACACCAACAGACAGGGACATATGAGAAGTTTCTAGGTAGACACCAACAGCCAGGGTCGTATGTGAAGGAGTTTCTAGGTAGATACCAACAGCCAGGGACATATAAGAAGTTTCTAGGTAGACCCTAACAGCCAGGGACATATGAGAAGTTTCTAGGCAGACCCCAACAGCCAGGGACATATGAGAAGTTTCTAGGTAGACACCAACAGCCAGGGACATATGAGAAGTTTCTAGGTAGACACCAACAGCCAGGGTCGTATTAGGAGTTTCTAGGTAGACACCAACAGTCAGGGACATATGTGAAGGAGTTTCTAGGAAGAAACCATTTGCCGGGGGCATATGTGAAGGAGTTTCTAGGTAGATGCCAACAGCCAGGGACATATGTGAAGGAGTTTCTATGTAGACACCAACAGCCAGGGGCATATGTGAAGGAGTTTCTAGGTAGACACCAACAGACAGGGACATATGAGGAGTTTCTAGGAAGACACCAACAGTCAGGTTCATAGGAGAAGGAGTTTCTAGGTAGACACCATTTGCCAGGGGCATATGTGAAGGAGTTTCTAGGTAGACACCAACAGCCAGGGGCATATGTGAAGGAGTTTCTAGGTAGACACCAACAGCCAGGGTCGTATTAGGAGTTTCTAGGTAGACACCAACAGTCAGGTTCATAGGAGAAGGAGTTTCTAGGAAGACACCATTTGCCAGGGGCATATGTGAAGGAGTTTCTAGGTAGACACCAACAGCCAGGGACATATGAGGAGTTTCTAGGAAGACACCAACAGCCAGGGTTATATGAGGAGTTTCTAGGTAGACACCAACAGCCAGGGACATATGAGGAGTTTCTAGGTAGACACCAACAACCAGGGTTATATGAGGAGGGGTTTCCTTGAGAACAGTATTTAGTTTTTGTGTGTACATAAACGTAACGTCGCTATAGTGTCATAAATATATTTCACGCGAAATACTGATATATATCTCACAACTGTTAAGCAGAAGTTGAAAAATAGATATCTCCTGTGATACGAATGAAATATATCATATCAAACATGAAATCATTAAATTTCTTTTTTATTAATTTTAAATGTAAAACAAATAATAAATGCTAACCCAAACACAAAGAAAAAACATGTTTAAAACAGAATTGGGAAATTATAGCAAATAGTATGATGTTATGCTTGGCAACAATATTGACGCCATTTTTGAGTGGGATGCTTTATATGGTATTCTACCAATTTATGTCGATATCAGGTAAAAATAGCTAACAAAATTCTTCTAAATATAAAACCAGGGAAACCTGAACACAGAAAGAATTTAATGGAAAACCAACTTATTCAGTATTCGCTTCATTTATATCTGAACAGAAAACGTTTTAATGCAGTAAGTCTGATAAGTAAAGGCAAGAACAGATATATCATCACGGGAAAAGTGATATCATTACCATTGATGATCAAATGTTTTATATTATATCTGTTTTAATTATAATTGATTAAGTTCTTTATTTCACCAGTACAATGCAATAAACCAGTATACATTATTACGATACATGTCATGGTCTGGTCAAGTCACTCATTCTCAATAAAGATACCGGCATACATGTCATGATCAAGACAAGTCACTCTTTTTCAGTAAAGATACCAGCATACATGTCTAGTCAGGTCAAGTCATCCATTCTCAGTAAAGATACAAGCATACATGTCATGATCTGGTCAAGTCACTCATTCTCAATAAAAATACCAGCATACATGTCATGATCAGGTCAAGTCACTGATTCTCAATAAAGATACCAGCATATATGCCATGATCAAATCAAATCACTGATTCTCAGTAAAGATACAAGCATACATGTCTCAATAAAAATACCAGCATACATGTCATGATCAGGTCAAGTCACTGATTCTCAATAAAGATACCAGCATATATGCCATGATCAAGTCAAATCACTGATTCTGAGTAAAGATACAAGCATACATGTCATGATCTGGTCAAGTCACTCATTCTCAGTATAGAATCTATTAATCTAATAAAAAGTATGATATACAAAATGTAACATTTTTCACCTGTTACAAAGTGATGCATTTATATATCGCTGTTTTATATACAGAACAAAGCAATCTCATGAGCTGGAATACTACTCACCTTTTGAAAACAATGAATGGAATAGTTTAAAAAATTACAGGACCAGTGAAACAGGGCCTTGGACCTAGTGAAGCTGTTCTTATTATTTTTTATATTATTATAAAACTATAATTAATATTATTATATTAAAGCTAATTGGGTTTTTTTCAGAATTTAATTTGACAATGGTATTGGTTTCAATCTTGGATCTTGGATCTTTATGAATGTGAAACTGTAATGATGGGAAAATGTAGAAATCTATGTAAATATATAGTCAAGTCCATGGTCCCTTGAGAAACTGCCCACATTAACATAGATACATGTGTCATAGGTTTACTGCTGAAAAACTTCAAACACAAACACAAGTTACAGGTTTGATACATGATGTTTACATGAAAAATTAATCCTGAACTCTGACACATGTCATCGGTACATATATGATATCTGATGTTTACATTAGGAATGAGTCGTGAACTCTAACACATATTACAAGTACACCGTTAAGTCTAAACAGAGAATGTAGGCATCTCATCTAATTTAGCAATGTATCATACTAAATGTATCATAATGCTAAAATTAACAACATGTATTATATTATAGGTAGCAGGCATATTTAATATAAAATACTGGTGTAATATTTTATATAGCCTACTCACTTACATCCTCGTCCCAGTTGAAAGTCGCACTACCGTTAAGTTATAGTGCGATTTTTACCTGTGACCGAGGATGTGTTACGATGGATGTTGTGGAAACTTAAATCTTGTACTTCTTGCTCTAATGCTAACATATATTTCCATGAACGAGTGGAACCAAGCAGGTAGCATTTAAGCCAAGGATGAAAATAATCTACATGATACCGTCTACATGTATATATGTATACAGACAAGGAATGGCTAAAATATATAATCACAATGGTTTATAAAACAAATAAAAAAAGGAAAGTAAAAGTTTTTTTTATTAACGTTAGGTATACATCAAAAAAATGATCACCTCTTACAGATTGCTTAAAAGATGGCGATGTACTGATGACAACCCGAAAAGGGTCATTGCCATGTGTATGGAAGCCCTTTTGATATAATAGGAATCACAAAGGGAAAGAAAGGCAGTATTTTTACGAATATTTTATCTCAAATATTTGGAGGTGGCGTGTCTTATTTGATAAAGTATACAAGGATTAGCCTTTCATGAAGGCGTTCGATGGGTGCTACTGTTTCCTCCAGCAGCAAGACTCCTCGCCCGCGTCCATCCGGACTGATTGATAAAGGTATGCAGTTTGTTTCGCAATCGTTGAAAAATAAATATAGTTTTTTTTTTATAATTAACATCTCTTTTTTCCCAAAAGCGGTATGTTTTTATAATATACATACGGAAAACTCAAAACATTTTCTATTGACAGACTGTAATCCCTGTGTAATGCTGGTAAAGGCAAAGGCTTCAAATTTAATAGCTGAATCATGTATTTCGCTTGTACTCGAATGAGAGGATAGATATAACCCTTGTGGTCCAATCATTCTAACCAGCTCTTCGAATTATCATTATTATTTATCAATTCATGGGCATGCAAATCAACATTTACATTTACGTTTCGTCAAATTTTACACGCAAGTGGCCTTGGTTCTTTAATGCTTTTGATAGTTGACAGCAATTATCACACCCTGAAAAGGCTCTACAGTAACACTTGTCAGATCTACGTCCTGTCCAACGGGAGACGAGTTATCCGTCGTCACGGCAACAGTTCCCTTAGTAGAGAACACCGGACCGGAAGAAAAGTCGTGCGTTGCACTCTGGGAACTCAGGTTGATTATAACAAGGTGCATCTGCCAGCCAGCGGCACTTCTTATGTATGATAGAATATCTGAGGTCACTTCTGCAAAATCCAGTTTACTGGTCTCAAAGGACGGGTACTTTCTTATATCAATTAGGTTTTTATAGAGTTGTAATATTCCACTTGCGTTTGCTTTCTGCAGCTGAAATAAATGATATACATGAATATGAAGCATTTTGCAACACATTGTTTGTTTAAACAGTTTTTAAACAAAACTGAAAAAATTAATGCTTGTACTAGAATGCTTAAGATTTTCCTATCATCATTAGTGATAAGGAAACAGCAGAAATTGTATCAAAATAGAAATTTAAAAAAAAAAAAAAAAAAAACACGAGAAAAGCGAATTATTTTTACACCTACCTCAACATTGACTTTGGGAGATTCTGGACTCAGGTGGAGCCAGGGTGTCGCGGAATCATTGGTAAACCCAGCGTTCAAGGCAGATGTCCATTGCATTGGTGAACGTTCCGGATCCCTTGTTCTATTCTCATATCCTCCCTTCAATTACGAAATAAAAATGGTATCAATTAAAGTAATTGTGTTTAATTCCATTGCTAATTAACACGACTGTGTTTTGTACCGATGGCAAGCTTAAGATATTATCAAAAGAGGGTAAGCCTAACAATAACATAGCCAGCATCAATGGTATTAGTTCAATGGGTGTTACAATAATCAGCAAATAAGAGTGGTCAATATTTGTCTAATTGCTATTTCGTTGCGGATAATAATCAAGTTATTCACTGCTCACGTTTTGAATGACATTTTCTGGTTTGGAAAGGTCCCCGATGAAAATTGAAAACATATTGCAAATTTTCACATATATGCGTGCTTCGGTTTGATCAATATTAAGTTTGTGAAAGGTTTATGAACCGGCGGGGAGATTCATATCTTATCTTATTTATTTACTTATTTTATTTATTTACATCGGTTGTTTCTCGAAACACCTAATGTTGCGCGTGATGCACCTGTAGAGCAGCACAATCCAAACGCCCACTCTCACCTTCCCCAGTCGGAGTCCAAATGAATCCTGACCCTCATCAAAAGTATAACGTACATCCGCCATGCCGATCTCCTCGCCATAGTAGATGATGGGGGTACCAGGTAGTGTTAGAAGAAGCATAGCCATCGCTCGTGTCTTATCATTGCCAAGTCTAGTAGCCACCCGAGAAATGTCGTGACTTCCCGTCTACAATAAAACCATGTCCAAGTATCAGAAAATCCTACATGATATACATCAAAGTTTTGTGTAGGGTTAGTACATGTAATTTAAATGATGTTCAAATCAAACTGATGTTTGTCAGCAACAACGGGACTATCAGAGAAAGGTGATGAATTATCAATACAGTAATTATTTCTCGGAGTTGACTGAGGATTTTTTATTTTTTGTTTGAGTGTGTGCGTGCGTGTGTGTGTGTGTGTGTGTGTGTGTGTGTGTGTGTGTGTGTGTGAGCGGTGTGTGTGTGTTTTTTTTTCTTTCTTTTTTTCTTGGTGATAGATATTGGCATCGTGAGTATATCTTTGTATTCATTGTATGCACGTGTCTGTTAAGCGCCATTAACGACACACAAATGGAAAGCACCTCTGCATTATAATTTTGAAATTTTAAAGGCATCATACCGCTGTTTCGTCCTTCTAGGAATGCTAAGGGCCTAGATATTGAAACCTGAGGTACAACCACAGTAATCGAACGAAAATTCAGATGCTGTGGGAAGGTGTCCTTAACCCATAATTCAATTAATTTCGTGAAAAAATGTGGTTTCAAAATTACGTAGCTGTCGGTGTATCCACGTGTGTTCAGTGAATATTGTATGCGTACCGGTGTAAAGATGTACATGCACTTTACCAATAATTAAATCGATTTCGTAAAAAAAAAAAATTTAGTTTCAACTTGCTTAACATATACGTGTATACGTACATTGTATGTGTACTTTGAGTATATTATGACATTGGTTACAAACGTTGATATAAGTATGAGAATGAAAAGTATCTTACTAAGAAAGTTGGCCAGTCGTTTGACCCCAGCTTTGTCATATATTCCGAAATTACGTCTCGCATGCAAATTCCGCCGCACGTCCTGTTGACCTTCTTGACCAGGTCAAAGTTGAATGGTATTGTGCCAGCATCGTAGTATTTCTTTATTATCTCGGAATCAACAGATGTGGTTTCTGAAAACATGACCCTGTACAGAGAAAATGAACGACATCAATCAACATAGTAATATACACATATAAGAGGGATATTTCATTATGGTATTCGAATGAAACAAATCCCTGTTAGCGTTAGCTTTTCAAATCAGGCCCCTTTCTCCACAGTCCGTTTACCTTGGCGGATTACTGTATGCGTCTAATAATTTCTTCCAATCTTTGATCACTGGAAAAATCTCCGGTAAATTCACAGTCTCGTTTTGTATCACCTGACCATCTATAACCTGCGATAAAACAAACATAACAATATTGTATATATATATTCATAAATATAATACTTTTCACCCCACAACAATAAAAATATTTCGGTTAAATTATAAATAACGATGTAATATATGTGTACTTAAGAGTGCCTGCAATGTTGTAAAATTTTTGTAATATCATTTAATGAATGGAACATGGTTTATCTCCAAGTCTGGATAATACGTGTTCTATCCCACTGATAGCTGGTGGACATCTATTCATTATCATTTGTTGTTCAAAATTTGATTCCTTTTCAGCTGTTTGAGACTTCTGTGTGATCTCCATCTTTATATTTCATTAAATCGTTAGATTTCGCCCAAATAAGTCAACTAAATCGATTTTGCACAGTTTTAGATTTGAAATTAATATTGATGGTAAAAAACTTATATACATACCACCTGGTCTTGAAGATCCTCACTCTCAAACAAGTGAACAATTGCGTCAATACGGAAACCAGCCACTCCCTTCTCCAGCCAAAATTTCATTACGTCCTACAGGAATTGGAAATGTGTGTAATTCATTTAACTTATACTGCAACAGTAAACTGCTCTCATATGCTAAGGTAGTCTTAATATGATAATAAAAATCTTGTGCTTGTATATTGAGAATATTTAAATCTACTGTCGCAGCGGAAAGATATCCTCGTACAAAGTACAAAGTTGTTCTTCCCTGTAGCTATCAAAATCTACTGTCTAGGTACAAAAATGTACCTCCGTGTAGCTATCAAAGTTTACTGTCAAAGTACAAAGTTGTTCCTCCCTGTAGCTATCAAAAGCTACAACTATCGCAGCGAGATTTTGAGAGACTTTGCATGTCCAAGTACTTACCCGTAGCTACCAAAATATACAAAGCTAGAGAGCTCCAGACCAAGTATATCGTTGTTGCTGTCGACATAAGTCTATTGAATCTTAACTACATATACATCTGTATCGTGAATTTACATGTTACAACTGGCCTGATAATCTCCAAACTTTGCCTGCGTCACCAATGTGTGTTTTATCTTTTATTTATATTTGTCGCTAGTTTTATCTTTTCCGTCTTTTCATTTAACCTTTATTATCATTATTATTACTATTTTCTTTTCTCTTATTGCTTGAAGTGAGATTGTAAGAAAAGCATCAAGGTGCTGTATTAATTACACCCACTCTGTATGTACATCGTGTAACTTTCGTTAAATCATTGTATTAGTTACGTGTAAACTGTATTGTCCCCTTTTCTTACCAGAACAGCGGCTTTGACGGCGGGGTTTCTGTAGTTGAGGTCAGGTTGTTCCTTGAGATAATTATGATAGTAATACTGTTGTCTGGTTTCACTCCATGTCCAAGCTGACATTCCGAGGGTATTATTCTGAAATGATACAACAATGTTATAGATACATATTTTCAGTTCATTATTTACTCTTAAGCATCTACATTGTAACAGCATGAAAATACCGACAGGTCATCAAAATCTCAATTTAATTTTTCAGTGAAATATTGGCACTTAATGAATAAAAGAAATATTCACAATGAGACACTTAAAAGTTTAAGGAAAACAAAAGCAAGTGTTACTCACTTACAAAACAAAACATGTGTAATGAAAATATGTTCATAAATTCTTTATAAACGTTCTTTGTTCATCAAAAGCTTTTAAGATCAGTATATTCTAATAAAAACCAGTTAAATGTTATCGACTAGATATCAGTGAGTTAACTTACCCAGTTGTTAGGGGGCGTGCCGACTGTACCATTTACCCATACATAGAAGTCTTCGTAACCTTTGACCCTATTTTCACTGTCAATGAACCACTGACTTTCATTGCTCGTGTGATTCGGAACGAAGTCGACAATCACTTGAATACCTGTAACATCAATATAACACCACGCCTGTGGGGCAACTGGAAACTGCGTGTGTTTTCGTTTTTTGTTTTTTTGTTTCTTGTTTTTTGTTTTTGTTTTTTTTTTTGTTTTTGTTTTTGCGTGTTCTCTCTTATATACAAATTATATTGCATTTAAATGTGAACTGTTTGTAAGAAAGGATATATATATATATTAAATTTATTTTCAATTCCGTTATTGTTCAGCTTGCCTATATGATATGATTTAAGATATATATCTCACTATTGACAAGACAATTTAGTATTTTGGTCTGCTCATTAACGCCAACTTTAGGCAAGTGAAAGATAATGACAAAAATATCATCCATATTGTTCAATCATACATTAATTATTCTTCATTTCCACAACCGATAAATTAAAAGCATAACACCAACAAAATAATATAATGTTTCCCACGACACATTTCAACATACAGTATTATGTTACGTTTGCCTCCTTCACTAGTGTAAAGGTGGCTTTGTTCACTGGTTTGTTTGTTTTTGTTGTTTCGTCAAAAGTTAAGGCGAAAACAAATTGTTTTGTGTATGGAAATTATGATATGATTGACGTATGTCTTCAAATTTTGTGGCGCCCTTGGAAAAACAAAACAAACCAAAGATCGTTAACTGAAAATAAAACCTATGTGTTTTAATATTTAATTTTCATTTGTTTTAATTTTTGTGCTCAACCAAGACGTTGAAGTTTAATAATATGGCTTTAAATTAACGAAAATGTGTAAAAAAAAAAAAAAAAAAAAAAAATGCAAGCGCCTTCTTTGCGTACAAGATGTTATGATTTAATATTAATTTTATTAACCTAACAACTTTTCACGTCCGTTCCGGAAAGTCCGGACGGCTAGGTGAAAGACAAGTGCGTTTCTTCTTCGCCATCCGACTAACCATGATTTAAGTGCTTTAACAAATCAAATTGGTTTAAATCTCGGAAGATATTTAAACTGTATCTGACACATCACTGATTAAATAAGAGTTAGGTTAAGTCTGACCCTTTTTATTGGCTTCTTCCAGAAGACGGTCGAAGTCGTCCATGGTTCCGAATATAGGATCGATAGCTGTATGGTTGCTGATATCGTAACCGTTGTCCATCATTGGAGACTCATAGAAAGGGCTTATCCATACGGCCTTCACCCCGAGGTTAGACAGGTACGATAACTCCTCTGTGATACCTGTACACATTAGGATACACCGATCATACCATAAACATTTTATTATCAGTGCGCATCGTCTGGTGATATATGTTGTTGACACCATCACCAATGAACATCGTCACATGATTTCTATAATCAATTGATCCTGATTCTCATATAATCCCTAAGCATCACTGAGAAGCTAGAAGCTGTATGATGCAGTTTGATTCATTAATTGACTCTTCTCTGTCTTATTCTTAATTTCTACTGAAAGTTTCTAATCACTTGTGTGTCTTAAGTACAACCTTCCTTGCCCGGTGGACATTGTTAAATGAAATCAAAAGTCAATGGTTATTGTTTATTGATTAAGTGAACATTGAAATCAAAAGCCAATGGATGTCAGTAATTGGTCCAGTGGACATCGTTGTATGAAAAGAAAAGTTTATAAAAAGAATTTTGTTTAGACTTATATCCGAAAACAGACAAATTAACTAGAATTAGTTGATGTTAACAAATTTTGCTTTAGAGAAAACAATACAAAATATTTCAATTCGTTAACTTCCACGTTTTTGTATCGAACTTTATTATCGCTCGTTAATATACATGTATTACTTACCATTGAGATCACCCTTTCCGTCATCATCCGTGTCCTTAAATGACATCGGATAGATCTGATAAACTGGTGTTGTCTTCCACCACTGCAGCACGGACGTATCATATTGAATCTTCTCTCGGACGTCTGCCGTGAAAGTGACCACACATATTACAGCCACACTGACCAATAGACAGACAAACACGATAACGCTACAACGAGTTTTAGAACAGCACGACTTCTTCGGGTTGTCATCAAATAAATCCATCTTTACCTTTCAGTACCAGATAAAAGCACAGACGACTCAAACCTTTATACTTTCTTCAGTTTTTTTTACCTTATTTGTCGGATATGAAGTGTATACCTGTCCTCCTGTAGCTCTATAAACAACCTGAATTTATCGTCAGCATTCTTAGGTTGGTAGAGATATCGCTTTGTTAACGTCTTTGAGGGTAATCCAACCTTGCGAAGTTTACCAACGTAGGCAATGGTGTTACTACGAGCAGAATACTGTTATCATTTCATAGGGTATGTCCAATATATTTGTCTGGGTCTAGATATCTTTGTTAAGTAAATAGACTAGAAAGCTTAGAATAAGTAGCATTTTAAAATATACAAGACCATATCAGGTTTAAAACTTGACAGAGTTGATATCTACAGCCAGGTGGATTCATCTCTGTTAAACATGTACACACGTGTACTGTGATTAAAGTCACGTGAGAAGTGTATTAAATCGCAGTTGTGATAAACATATTGCTTCTTTTTCAGCGCGTGACTGACATTATTTTGAAGACATGTGTGTAGCGAAGATTTCGACATGCTCAACAGAAGTGAACAATGAATTCTGTGGGATTTTGTTTTCTATGGTTTTTGAGGGTGATGGTGTGCGAGGATGTGTGTTCCATTTTTTCAAAGTTTTTTTTTATACTTTTAGTTCAATTTTATTTTATAATAAATTGGTATTCAAAAGAATGATATTTACTATCACCATATTTTTTTCTTCTTTAATGTCTGACGTACAAGTACCTTAAAACACCTATAGTCAATACAGATAAGTTCTCTTCCAGGTATTCATGTCAACAAGAGCAGATCCAGGCCTTTTTTCAGGGGTCATTATCATAGCCGAACCACAGTTTAAGATAATATTTTTATTACACAATGTTTGCCGTTTATCTTGTGATCGATCCTGTGTACAAAAGCCCGATAAACGCGAAGTATAGTAAACAAGTATTTTGATGATAACCTATATCTTAGCCTCGAAGATATTTTTTCTGAGATAGAACAATTTGTAACGTTTTCTATTGAATTAACAAGTTAAAATGAAACCAGATGACATAACTTGATACCACTTACACGCACAAAATTTGCTAAAATTGGCTATCAGCTGTTTATATAAACATATATTGGTAACCAAACTTTAGTAACTCTAACCAACTTTAACGCATTTCTATACGTTTCTATATCATATATATTTACATCATTTTACAGTGGAAGGTACATCTTATACAGAGAGTGAATCAAACAACACCACACGGCTATTTCGTCCTTCTGGGATCGTCAGTGATTATTAATTAGACTTATTTTGTGAAAAAAATTACAACTGATATCAGTCACTCTTGTTGACCCTCATGGAAGCTGTCTTAACTTTCATTTGCATTTTTTCACCATGAATCGTATCGCGAATACGGAACAAATGTAAAGTTAGGAACTATTTTTTTTCTGGTCCCGTTTCTTTCAACATTTCCATGAACGATATAATTTACTTCACAGCTACGTGAACAACATACTTTATTCAATATGGTCGAAAGCTCACTATTCACTACAAACAGACAGTTGATTTCTTCATACTTCGTATTAATGTAACAGAAATCATTATTTTTTGCAATCCTTCCGGTAGGAATCGAACCCGGGACCCCTGTTGTCATGCATATACCCTCCGTACCAGGTGCACGACTGACTCAAATGTGTTTTATTTCTTATGTACATTGTAATTGTGCATGTGTTTTATATGTCAGTATTTATTCAAATCTCTCTTTTATTATTTTTCTGTCAAGTACCGACGCGTGTAAAATAAAGAAATAAATGTTGGATTGATTGAGTTCAATATGTACATCCGTCAAACAGAAATTTGAAAGACATTTTCTGAGGACAGTTGTCACCCTATATCGCCTTTCCGCTGACGATCACTCGATAACTTAAACTGTCCGGCACATAACACTTGTGTTTTCCCTCAGTCGTTTTCTGACTAGCTCTTAGCCTAGCATAAACCATCGTCAATCGGGTTCATAGTTAAATATAATAAAAATGTTTAGTCGCACGTTTGTTGTAATGAATTTTAATGACAACAAAAAATAAACAAAACAACATTATAATGAAATGAATTTATATGCAATGATATTGGTACAGTATAAGATAGGAAACGTACCCGGATCGAGTAAATTGAAAGCTTCAACTTGAATAATACAAAGTGACTCCATGATTATATGATGCGTCGTAAAAAATGTCAGTAGTTTTACAAATGAACGCTCGGTTTGAAGAATTTATGTTTTACCGTCTAATATGAACATGAAATTATAACAGAACGGTTTGAGGACGTGTTTGAACGATAAAGAACAACCAATGTAAATATGCAAATATTATGACTAAAGCAAGCCTACTTATCGTCATGTGACCTATATTCGGGTAATTTGATCATGTGACTTCACACAGAGATAGTGTTCAAAATGGCGGACGGAGGCAGTGGTGTTGTGATAGTGAGATAGAATTTTGTTTATCATGTCGTACATCGAAGATGATGACGATGAGGAGGCGAGACTTCTCCAGACTCACCCACCTCCTCCGGTTTACAGGTAAGTAACTTTTTGAGTAAATCCAGTGGGCTGTAACCATAATGACCGATATACGTAACTCGTGTATTGTCACTGATCCCTGATAAACATGATACAGAGTGTGCGGGGTAGGTAAACAGTGACGCAGGTAAATAACTTCATCGTCGGGAGTTTGTTGAAATATAATATAGTTTCAAACTGTTCTATATACATGTATGAAACTGAAAATTATTTTGCAATGTCCACAACTTTCTCGAAAAGTTTTTTTTTTCACTCTGTAGTGACGAGTAATGTAGCATATAATGTCTTTGATATGTGACCCACGAAATGTGCACTGTATATATGACTCAGTACAAAAAGAAGATATTGTTACAACTTAATATTCACAACATAGGGAAAATGACATTGACACGAAACTTAATCCACACGACGGTTGTGTGGATAAGCACGGTAAGTTCAATCACTGAGTCTTTATTTCATTTTTTGTTTATGCAACTCATCGATACATGAACAAAATACAAATTGTATTACATTGAAGGTCCAAAACATGACCTGTGGAATAATAAGGATTAATATGTTTTCATAGCTACTTGATCATCTGCTATTCAATTAATACACAGTACAGTTGTATGCTAAATGCGCCTATTGAGATAAGACGATAACGATGGACATGTATCAGAAAACCAGTGAATCTAACTACCGACTCCAGCAGTAAAGATAAACAAGTTCCACGTGTTCGTACCCTGGGACCCAAAGATCATGTCTTCCGGTCCCTTTTTATTCAATTCTGCTTTTAAGGAAACTAGATGTTTCGGAGTGATATGAATATCGCAGCCGACAACGAAGGAGAAGTTTGGAACCATTTTATCTGTTGACTCGGGAAAATTGATGTCCTGGAATCAACGGTAAAGAATCTGAAATGATATTAAAGATTTGTTAGCAAATTATCTTATCAACACTGGAGTCGGCAAGGCTGTTAAGTATTAGTCTTGTTCGTTTTCGTGAAAATTTCCATTAAAATTCTTAAAACAGAACTTGACCAGCAATTTATTATAAGGTCGTAGCTCTTCGTAGTAACCAGGATGGATATATGTTCGTTTCTGTTATTTTTTTTTTAATTTGTTTCACCTTCAAATATTCATCTTGATTATCTGAAATTGAAGATTTTGGTTTTCTTTGACACATACTTATAAGGATAGGCTCAAGATACGGTATGTACATAGTTATTCGCTACTCCGCTACCAAGATATTGACATTTAGGAGATGGTTTTACATAAGCTTTAAGCTTGTTACCAAATCCTCTTAGTTAAGATTTGAATTATATGTATATCTAAATGTTAAACATTGAATAAAATATTGTTTAAACTAAGATATTGACATCCGGATTAGTATATATCTCACAAAGCATGCTCAGTTCGAACGTAAACCATTCTTTACATTAATGAAGGAATGCCTATAGTTACCGTTGTAATTGACTCTTAAACCTTTGCAATTCTGGTTATCATGTAGACGGATCATGAGTGTGTCTTTCGTGCACATGACTTGACCTCGTGAACAAAAGACTCCCTCGTAACGCCATCAGACCACACAGTGGGTTTGAACTTCGCGCGTTTTAAAAAGCATTCACGAAATAGTGTCAGTTTGAAACAAGGGCCTGAAGTCAATCTAGTCTAACTTTTGAGGTTTGACGGAATCTCAATAGGGTAAAGTTTGCATTTTGTATTTAGCAAAAGGTGAAATGAAAATATGTGGAATCAAAAAAACTATCTTCCGTTTCGTTGGTGTGGCATCAGAAAATCTGAAACAATAGGCTATTCCATGATGACAATTTTTAAGCCGGCAAAAGCGAAGTAAAATTTAGCAAAGTGCAATTGTAGTTATCATCTGATAACCTAAAAAAGTAGAACTAAAACCCAAAATAAATCTTACTATCTGACATCATTACATTTAAACGTAACTCGAATTGAATAATTAATTAGTTTATTATATCAAAGCTCGATACAAGTCGCATAATTCAACAGTTGTGGTAATTTTTGTACGTTCATATATAGAAGGAACCTCTGCCAAAAAACTCGGGTGTCGTCTGTGAGACAATACTACAGCCATGCCAAAACGGTTTCTCTTGCAAGTTTGCGACCGTATAATGCTTTGAAAAAGTGTTTTTTGTTTTACTAAACATTCAACTCTAAAGAGTACTCACTACATTAAAAAAATTATTGAACATTTCATTATCGCTACTGTGCCGTGTTAGGGTACCTGACCAGGAATTAGCAATGAATGTTTCGTCCGTTGTCTGTTCAACCATAAACTGGTCACGTTTAACACTGATTATAGAACGGCCCGATATCAATATGGCCGTCATCTTGAAGATCACATCATCCCCCCACGCCCCCCCCCCCCTTAGAACTAAGTAATCCAATGGTGTACTTTAGAAACGTCAAGTGATTCAGTAGATCAAGTAGTGTATCTTCATTTCAACATCCACTGGACATTCCGTCTCGGTTGAACATGCCCTATACAATTTCAAATATCATTTTAATATCAATTTCACTTTGTATACGTTGTTAGCCGGTGAAAATAATTAGCTATGATATACCTATTCTTGTCCTCTGTCTGTTCCATTTTACAATCTCATGTGTTTGCACTGTTGTCCGCAGCTTTGTAATTTTCCTGGCCCATGGCGGGCCACGAACGTTGTAAGTAAAGTCCACCGATGAATTTGATTCCCATTTCGTCTTGGCTTGCTGCTGGAGTCATTTTTCCCTCTCTCGGCCTTTGTTAAGTCATTGCTGATTTTTATATTTCTTCCAATTTCCGAGATTTTTATCTTATATTTAAAAAAAAAATTTTCTTTGATATCAACGGTATTAAGTGTTACAAGTAATGACCTGTCCTTTCTGTGCTCTAATGGTGTATCCTTGTTAAATCTTCCAAGTCCTTTAGACATGGTTCCATTTGTTCCTTCCTCCTGGGGAGTGACATTACATTTATGGAATATTTCATTACTAATATTTGTGTCATGCTTTGTCCTTTTCTTCCTGTCAGCTAATTTACATTCTGTCGCACCATGTAATATAATATTGCATTCCCTAGAATTTCTGTCACTAATTATTTTGGTAAGATTTTTCACTGGTGTTGTGGACTTGACTGCATCCTGTAGTTTTGGCCATTCAGTTGGGTATAGCTGCTCTTGTCGCATATTGTCGCTATTTTTGACTCTATAACAGAGATCCTCCCCACCCCCCTCCCCCAAGTCCTGAGCGAAAACTTTGCATCTTTCTTCTATTTCGCTATCAGTGACAATGCTTTTCTCGACAATTTGTCTGCAGACTACGCAGAACCACATATAGTCCGATGTTTGCAGGATCATGTAGTCCTCTTCTGATTTCCTTGGACACTTGATGCCGTGGTGTGATCTACGTCGCTCACATTCCGGATCAGGAAATACCCTGGTGCCATCCTTACATGTCCATCCATCTTCCTTATCATTTACTGCATTCCCCAATTTGAAGTTTACAGCGAAGTTATAACTCGATGATATCGACTTCAGATTCGTTCCCGATTCGGATTTCCTATTTTGGGGGTCTCCCTCAGCCTCGTCGTTGCGGGTTGCCAGGGACGCCGCCGCCATCTTTCGTTTGTTGGTCTTTTGACATGCCTCATGATCCAGCGGTTTCACTGCTTTAACGCCTCAAACTAAAAACCCGATTTCACAATTAGGCTCTAGCATCGGTTTGTCTTTCTGCTCTTAGCAAAAATGAAACTTATATTTTAAGACACTGACCATGAATTCAATTTATCGTTAAACCTTGATTGAAAATCAGATCATCAAAATTTTAAGTTTTGTTGTTCAAACGTTGTTAGCTGACGTTGACGTTACGCTGAATTTTGCCTGATGGCATACGCCAAAATATTTTGTTCCACGCAGAAATTTAGTTCCAAACGTCAACAGATACGATAGCGATTTTTAATTTTTTTTTTAAATAAACTTATTCATTACAACTTATAAAATCACTTATTTTAATAGTCATTTGTATTGTATTGATAGACTTAATTTTAATAAAAAAAAACTTCAGAAAGTAATTCTGTTCAAGTTTTCCATCACTGCCAAATGCAGAAACGTAAATGTGACAGGTGTATTCCGAAAATGGCAGTGCCAGTTGCTGGATAAAAATAGATTTGGAACAACTACATACGGACAAAAACAAGCATCTTACGCCAATTAGAATAACAGTTATACTGACCGCATAGAACTGTCACATCGTCGTGAGCACGTGAAACTACTTTAATCATTCCAAGAACACGAACTCGTGATCTCGGGGATGACCTTCCGGTCTGGCACTGTCTCCACATACGTGTACATTATTCCTGTAAACTTTAGTTTGTTAAATGTGAACTGGAACTTGTTGGGTTTACCTGCTATCCTATGTTAGAAGCTATCACTGATCTAAGACTACATTAATTGATAGTAAAATGTAAGTGACTTTGTCGCTTGTCCAAGAAACCTTATTATTAAAATGACATTGCCGCCGGTTGTTTTACTGTACAGTGAATCATTGACCACTCATTAGAAGTACCGTATTCAACATTTAAAGAGCACCGGGACTGATTCGAAGTGATTAAAAATAAATACTTACGAATCTGCCTGTCCTGTTGAATGGACTTTTCAGATAAAATGCATGTTAAATATGATCACTTGATAAATAAATCTTTGATTGAACAATATGGTATTATACATCAAATCTATCATAGTATTCTGATCCGACTTTTTCTCAATTATGTAAAAGATAAGCATTTCAAAAGTGCTAGTGCACCTCCTATTGTCATTTTCTGTGATCAGTTGTGATTTTCTTCAGTCGACGTCTCGGTTTTTAAGATCTTTATATGTAAATTTACGAGTCCTAAATACAGGAAAACACTGTATGACTTTCTGGCTGTACTGTATCTTATCTGAGTTTGTATTGAAATGTGCCATTCACTTGATTCTTTCTGTTCTGGTAACTATACTTCCAACACCAACAGCAAATTATGTAATTATGTAAATTTTTTTTTAATTGATCGTTCTGTCTTCGGGTTAATATTTCAATATAACGAGTCTTTATATTGACATATTCATGAACATCCCTTAAAAATACGTGTCTTCATTTAGTGTAATAGCACGTGATACTTTAACCGTAAATCCTCAGCAACATCATATTACCAGAACTTGAAAAGGTCTTTTGTCTGTGTAAATGAACTAGGACAAGGTGACGGAAGTGCTTGTGTATGCATGCTTTATAATGGAGTGGATTTCTAATTAGATGTTACCATTATTTTGCTCCAAGGCTAAAGACTTGAACACGATTACCTGGGTAGACACAGTCGCTCAATAGCGTCAGTCATACACTCTAGCAGAAGCCGGGATCGGTGTTAATGTTGTTATAGTGAAGTACTTTGAGCTGTGATTTTTCGTGAAATTCACTCAACCGGTCTCAATCATGACAAAATTAACAGTGTTGGAAAAAGGACCAATTCAGCTGCTAGACGTGAAAAAACTTTCACTCGGTAGGAAAAAACTGTAAGTGTATGAAATATCACTTATCTATTAGTCAATCCTCGCTTTACTGCTACAATTTGCATATGACTAGCTTATTTTGTCTGTTTACTGTTTATTTCTGTATATCCTTAGTATCGTTTATGGTTCCCTGTTGCTTTGGATGAAATCGCGCTGTTTTGGTCTAAACTGTTGATGTACCGTGTGATACCAGTTACAGGTATGCATGTTCTATTGTTTTATAAACGGGTAACTGAACTGATTGACTTTTTGTTGTGACATTAAGCTACCGTGTTTAGGAATCAGTAAGTCTCCACAACACCTCGTTTTCAGTCCTTGTACATCTCTGATATATCTAGGAACGTCTTCTTATGTACGTGTGGATTCTTGATGTGTTTTTTCTACATTAACATTATAACAATAAAATCTGGTAGTGATTTGCCAATGACTTGTATCAAGAGTGGCGGGTATTTTTCTAGCCCCTCTGGATATTGTTAAACATAGCTAAAGAATCACTTGCGTGTAGAAAAAAAATCTTAAGAATATTTTCAGTGGTTCGATTTTGTATCGACAAGCCACGGCTATTGTCGTCTCCGCCATCTTCTTTACACTGCTCTGCGCATGGCGCCACTAAAACAAGGTGACTGAACAAAATCCGAATATGCCCTTCGTGACATGGGAGCTGCTTTTCTGTAAATAATAATGAATTCTGAAGTAATATTTTTTTCTTTTTATTCGTACTGACAATGACCCCAAAATTTCATACCAATATACAGTAGATTCTAATGTACGTTATGTTCAACGTATTATTTCTTCTACTGAAATGTTTATAATATACCAATAAAAAAATCACTTGTTGAATATTCGTGTATGTCTATATGTGGTTAAATTGATCTTGTCTCATTTGTTAAGTAATAACACAGTTTAAACAGAAACCGTTCAAATAAATGCCGGGACCTACATCTGTAGACTTCTAGACAAGTCTCTTGTCAGCATAAACATACCGTTTTTTTTTTAATTTGCAGTAGAGATGAAACCATGTGAAAGAAACAATAATTTTATGCTTTGTTGTATATAAAGAACACGACTCATAAGTCCTGAAGAGCTATTAGATATCAAAATGAAACCTTTCCCTGAAGTTATTAACTACATTGAAATAATGCACTCTCAGATACCAGGTACAGAAATATGCTGACAAATAAAATCTTTGCACGATAAAATTAAGCGTAACTTTATATTCTACTTTTGTTGAATCTTTGTTTATTTTGACGTGAAGTATTTCACCGGAATAATTAACATACGTATACATTGAAGTGATACCTATATATAGCCTAATTTTAGTGTAACAAGATTTTAAGGAAGCCTCCAATTATAACTTCACCAATGTCACGTATAGGCTCAACAACTGAAGACATTAACGAGAATTCTTAGTTATTCTCTTTATTCATCGGCGTCTTGTTCGAAAATGACCAGAACGGCCGAAGACGCTACCAGTAAAGAATTCTCGGAACTTTCCTTAACCAATCGAATTTTATTTTACATGTGACTTTGAGTGGCGTTTCGGCCATTGACCAATCGGATCTAGCCTAACTGTTTCAGCGCACCTGTTGCGACCTGTCAACAATAGCTTGGCTTACATGGAGATACTGTGACACCATCGAGTAATGCTAACAGACCCCTTGATTGCAGACAATGAGAGTAAATCCTGACGCTAACTGACTAAAACGCTAACGCTAACAGATTAATTAAGAGGCTAATACAACGTGAAGCACCTTTGACCGAAACTTGTTAAGATGCCTATTTATATAGTTCTTTGATAATGACATGCTTAATGAGGTTTTAATGAAGACTTTACTTGAGAACATGTCCTAATCCTGACATTATGTAAAGTTTAGTGGCTTTGTAAGAAACAAACTGACAGAATAACTCTCAGTCCACAGTAAAATATCCAAAGAAAAATCTAAATTATCTAAACTGTATATACATATATTTATCTTTCTAATTATTTTTCCTAAAAAATACTAAAAGATAATGAGTGCTGGGACACTTCCTCCATGATTAAAAAATCAATTCCTCCGGAATTGTTCAATATAAAAATACAAGAAGACACAAGAAAGAACAAGATACAGTGAATATATATACAAAAACATCAAATAAATCAAAACAGATCAAGTCAAATATGAACACAATTGTTAAAATAAATAAAAACATATAAAATCAAGATATATAGTTTGAATCACACGAGGCATTGTCAATGTTCAAAGCGTATTTGTAACAGTAACAAAGGGAAGTAACTCCAGTCATGGATGAAAGGAAGGGACTCCCAATCATTTGGACCCAGGGAAACAATCTAAAGGTGATCAAAGGGAAATAACTCCAATTCAAGATCAAATAAATTCATACTGCTGTGAGTTGGGTCCTTGTTACAACCTTTTAACAGTATTCACTTCCCCCATTCTTTTGCACGCGAATTCAAAACACACTATCCCCAGAATCCATGTCTTGGTGTGAAATAATGCACATAAATTCATCATTTAATAAATCACCATTGATCCACACTGAGGAACAGATAAAAACCATTGCAGAATAAATGAAATGTAAAATTCGGAGCACATGTCACTTGTGCAGTTTGCAGTAAACAACGCTAATAAATGACAAACTAAAAAAAATGAAAAATGTCGACGATAATGAAGTTAGCTATATGATTGTTGGATGTCGTTAAAGGACAATCCAGTCACATTGTACCCAGCTGAGAATGAGCTCCATACTTAGATACACGTTTCACAGTCAGGTGAGTCTTTTGCTGTAAAAGTGGAGAAAATATGAAGTAATTTTCAAAGGATGAAGAATCAGTTTCATTGGTGAAAACCATCCATCCCATAAATTATTATTGAATGTTTTGAAATCCCACCCAGGACTGATAAAGAGAAAATCACAAACACTTGTTTGTATGTCCAATGAAACGCTTTCCGTTACTTCCTGAAAGTAACAAAACAGTGTCTTAGTAAGACAACGTAGTCATTAACTTTCATCTTTACATCGTATCGACACGTGTACTTAATTATTAAAAAGGGGTATGTTTTTTAATATCAGGCATTCTTTCATACTACAGACTATAGTCATACCAGATTTTGACTCTAACCGATTATCTTCTCGTTATCTCCCTTATATATGTACCAGGAAATAAGATATATATTGTATGGAGGCAGATGCTCTACCTCTTTATCTAAAATATTATATCTAAATTACTTCTTACACATTATAGTATTATGAGTTTGATCAACTATATACCATATATTATATATGTATTTGATCTGTTTAGAACAGCTTTTCAATGCATTACGTTCAGCAGCAACCATATACATGTACGTGTATATGTGTCAGGAGATAAACTTTTCACCAACTTTGTAAAATGAAAACGTGTTAGATGTTTCGATGTAGATGTCGTAGTGTTGATAATGAAAAGACCAGTTCATGTTGGATGTATTTTATTCGTCTGCATGGATTTATATACAATATACATGTGAACTATATACAACAACCATCCTTTACCGTATCAAAGTTTAGATGTAGAGATGTTCTTGCATCAGTTTCTGGTTACTTTGGTGTAGAGGTAAAACATCATTGTCTGGTTACTTTGGTGTAGAGGTACGGCATCAGTTTCTGGTTACTTTGGTGTAGAGGTACGGCATCAGTTTCTGGTTACTTTGGTGTAGAGGTACGGCATCAGTTTCTGGTTACTTTGGTGTAGAGGTACGGCATCAGTTTCTGGTTACTTTGGTGTAGAGGTACGGCATCAGTTTCTGGTTACTTTGGTGTAGAGGTACAGCATTAGTTTCTAGTTACTTTGGTGTAGAGGTACACTATCAGGTTCTGGTTACTTTGGTGTAGAGGTACAACATCAGTTTCTGGTTACTTTGGTGTAGAGGTACAGCATCAGTTTCTAGTTACTTTGGTGTAGAGGTACGGCATCAGTTTCTGGTTACTTTGGTGTAGAGGTACAGCATTAGTTTCTAGTTACTTTGGTGTAGAGGTACAGCATCAGTTTCTGGTTACTTTGGTGTAGAGGTACAGCATCAGTTTCTGGTTACTTAGCCTACATATCTGAGACTGGCAAATTGATATTTGCAACATATCTATGATTAGACGAGTTAACGTTCGATGATCGGATATAAAGAAACTACTGATAAATGCTTTTAAGTTATTTTGAATCACAGAATATGTCAATGCCACATTCGCACTTAAAATGTCTAAGAACATGCTCTATATTTCAGATAATTAGAAAACCCAACGATGTTTTGCTGTACTTATGTGTACATTTACGCTTAAATGCCGTGAACAATATGTGACGTAACGTCGATAGGTGTACAACCATTAATGCGCACGGCAGCGCCTATCTTCATTTCCGTACTTACACTAAAATGAGGAAATCAATGTCTTGTGGTTTTGAAACATATACCTTCGTCTCATTTGTTTTGGAAAATCATGATTTTCGATAAAAAAAAATAAGCTGTCGTGGTGTCTGTTTTATCCGCTTTTCTCGCAGGGTATCACTTTGAGTACACACACCTTGTTTAATACCAGAAGTGACGACATATTATAATTAACGGTTCTATTAATAAACACACGCGCTCTTAAAGTCCAACCAACACACGAAGACGAAGTTTTTGATCACTCTCAAAATTAAACAAATATTTTGGAAATATTGTTATATTTTTGGGTAGAGTCACATTGAAAAATATATGTTAGCAGTCTTTATATCATCAGTTTGATTAAATCTGTGCATGACCTCATTAATGGATATAATATTTATTAAATATTCTGTTCTACGCAATGCATTTAATATTTCAAACATTTCAATTTCAGTCCCGGATCTGTCGGTGTCCCCAGTACAATATTGGAACCTCCAAATGTGTACAAGAGCAGATGGCGATCAATTAGGGTCATGTACCTCACTATGTTTCTTAGTAGTGTGTCATTCTCCATATGTATGTCCTCCATATGGCCTTACCTACAGTTGGTAAGTATGTTTCTCTGTGTATGTCTCCCATATGGCCTTAACTACAGTTGGTAAGTATGTTTCTCAGTGTATGTCCTCCATATGGCCTTACCTACAGTTGGTAAGTATGTTTCTCGGTGTATGTCCCCCATATGGCCTTACCTACAGTTGGTAAGTATGTTTCTCGGTGTATGTCCTCCATATGGCCTTACCTACAGTTGGTAAGTATGTTTCTCGGTGTATGTCCCCCATATGGCCTGACCTTTTACGTTTTAGTCAAAACCTTGGCTGGTAACGTGTTCGGGCATCCCAGGGTGTTCCGTTTATGAGAATGTAACAATACTTTCCTTTCATTGATGATTTGAGATTTGTATGGCGAGTGTCGTTGATGAAGCAGAAGACGCTTACCCCTCCGGAAATCCTCCTTGTGTTTGTTCACCGTCCTTCCTGTAAATGTTTCCTTTGTCCACATTTTGCCTTCGTGTCGTAGATTTTTATTTTTAATCCCGATTCGTTAAAATGTCGGGTGTTTTATTAAGCCTCTTTATGTACCATAACGATGTTGATTGGCCTTATTCTTTATTCTTTACTAGCAGCATGTTATTGTACGTTGGTATGCCATAAGGGTTGAAACATTATTATCCATCATTATTGTTGATGGATAAATAATCAATTTTAAATGTATATTGCAGAACATTTTCTTCTGGTTGATAAATTCAGTACAGTAACAGTTGTTACAACACAATCAGTGAATGTTTTTGAGTGTGAGGTTTCGATGACTACACTGGCTAAAATGGCCAGTGCGAAGCTCACTAACGCTGACGTACATGGTTTAAGAGATGGTAAGGAAACGATGAACTTCACCAACTGTTCTATAATTTTATGTACATTAAAGTTGATCTATGACAAAGTGATAAAAAGCGTAGCCGAATTGACCATATTAAAATGCTACCATAATCCGTATTGTTTTGGTCTATAATATGTTTTCCATCTCGTTCGAACGAAGTGTATTTAAAGTGGATTAAAATGCAACCGATTTCCTACCATCTGGTACGCTACATAAGTCAGTTCGAGTACGCCTCACACAGGTCATTTGTCCGGTGAAGGTGACCATGTAGTCATCGGAACATTACACTAAAATCTTCTACTGGTTGTGTTATAAGAACTTTTATTCTAAATAGCCTATAACATCCTACCATGAGAAGGCAATATGAATCCACCAGTAAACATTATATCTGTTTGTTTACAGCTGGACCCGTCTGCTACCACTAACTTCCTAGGCTGGGTGGTGGCTTCATATAGTTTGGGACAGCTGCTAGCCTCTCCATTCTTTGGTTTCTGGGCTAATAAAAGAAAAAGAAGTCGAGAACCCCTGGTTGTGTCCCTTATCATCAATATACTAGCGACTGTCCTGTACGCATATCTTCAAAGTCTAAACTCGCATCGGAGTATAGCACTTCTTCTATCCAGAGCATTCATAGGCTTTGGAGCAGGTAGGCTGTTGGTTCAAATGCTACGGAAGAGTTAAGGAATTTCGTATAGAAATCTTCACAGGTGATTAACAAATAGGAAGGCACTAGAAATTATGTCTATTCGATAATGAAATGAAAAATCCGTTTCTCATTACTTTGTGCGATAAAAATAATTGTTCAGTCCTTCCGTACCAAGTGATAGATGGATACTACTTGCATGAATGGATCATCATGAGTTTTTTTCATTCTGTAATGCATTTGGCGGAAGCTGCATTCAACCTGCGATTGATGATTGGATAATACTTTCATGAAAATGCAGAAAATAATACAGAATGATTACTCATTGTATTTGCCATGTATTGTTGAAAATAATCTCCCCTAGTGGAGGATATCGGTAACGGTGTATTCTTGTTTTTATTCCATTTCATTGTATATTTCTAGTACAACTTATGCATATCGTGTACGAATGCATTTTTAGATGGACTACATTGGATAGATATACTCCAGGAGTTACAATCACTTTCGCTCTCTGCACCATGGAACATATCATTTCAAAATGAATTGTTCCAGGAGAAAAAACACTGACCAATCACAGGCTGATAAGCTCCTTTGGAAGATTACAAAGGAGTTACAACCAACTTTAAAGCCATTACAATATACCGTTATGCCTCGAGATTATTTTTGATATACATCAAAGTCTTTTTGACTTGTCCACAAGGTGACACACATGGAACCTTCACTTTTGCCATGAAATGTTCCAGAGGTGCAGAGATCGTAACCCCTGGATTATCGAGGATGTTTATATCCGTTCCCGTGTAGGCTATCTTAAAACGCATTTTTACATATAAGATATGTATGCGATCAAACTTAAGTGTTCTTCATCTGCGTCTTTGGTACTATAGGTAATGTAGCCGTTGTGCGGTCCTATGTGTCTGGAGCTACTACTACACGTGAGAGGACAGGGGCAATGGCTAGTATGAGTGCCTGTCAGGCAGTGGGCTTCATATTTGGACCATGTGAGAGTTTATAATAGATATAAGCATTTCAAAGTATATATTGTAAGAATGGAATTTATTTGTGGTATACCTATTTTATACTTATGTTATACTTATCTAGAAAATATCAAAAAGATAAGAAACAATGGAATTTGGAAGAGAGTTTTCACTGATATTTCAATATCTTCGGTTACTCTTGTGTTAATGACTTATATTGTACTAAAAATAACTGAAAGATGGCGATACTATTAACCAACATTCTTTAATTTGCGATTCCCTTTTCAATGGTTGCGTATTTTACGATCGAAACAAATTTGTAAAAGTTAGTCACCGCGAAGAAATAGAAGAATGGTGGTTCACAGTACTTAACTTCAATATGATACAAGTTCTACATGGTTTACATCAGTTATTTGTTTTGTTATTTCATTTTGTTTTTATTTCTATTTTATCAATTTGAAAAAGTAAGGTTTTATATTTTAGCAATCCAGACAGCGATGGTGCCTATAGGATGGCCTGGACCTGTCCACGAGGCTGCTTTCCACATTGATCTCTACACAATGCCTGCTTGGCTTAGCGCTGTTGTTGGCGTCATCAACATAATACTTTTGGTGGTAGTTTTTCAGGAGCACAAAGTTGACAATGATGAGGATATAAACTTCAATATCCAAGGAGGTGGTATGTTGATTACGTCGCTGCTGTGATAAAGTACAAAAGACGGATCATAACACAGTATCATGTTAGAATTTCCAATTAGAAATACTGTGAAAAATCAGTATTATATTACAAATGAAATCGTTTCTTATGTTGTTCAATACTTACTAAGTTGTTCAGTGCTTCATATTTAAAGTCGTTAAGGTCAGATATAATATCTGAAGCAGGTTTTCGCTTAAAGTTATCGCTTACTATTGAACAGACGAAATGCCCGACTACACACCAGATCGTACAGCTGTCATCGCCTCACTCATACTATTCTTCTTCGTTTTATTCCTCTTTACAGTGTTTGAAACGTAAGTCTGACATCGTCGTTTGTTTTAAACTGACCGAATTTTTACAAAGTAATGATACTTTATGTATGTTGTGCATTTGATTTTGCAATTTGTTAAAAAAGATACAACATCATGTTTTGTTTCCTTAATCAAACTAATGTTGACTTGTTAAATTTTTGCTGCCATTTAATACTTGTAATAGTGTGACCAATTTTAGCTCACCTGGTACGAAGGATCGGTAAGCTAATGCCATGGTGCGGCGTCCGCCATACGTCCATCGTTCGGCGTTCGTCAACTTTTAAGTAAAAATTGTTACCGGTCATACACTACAGAATTGACTTAATTTGGTCAGAATCATGGTTGGGGGAAGGGGGAGCCAAATTTATAAGAATTAATTTGATGAATGTTGAATCTGTTTTCTTTTCGACCGCAAGGGCATGATTCAATAGGAAAACTATTTCAGGAATTATTTGGTCATATTTGAAATTTATTAAATGACTGAATAGCTGAATTATCCAGGTGAACGATGCAAGCCTCTTTGGCCACTTTTTTCATGCTGTTTTATTTCGTTACAATATCTATCTGTTTTGGGTTGTTTTGTTTCCAGTATTGCCACGCCATTAACGATGGATATGTTTTCCTGGACAAAGAGTGAAGCCACATTGTATACAGGGATCATCCTAGCTGTTGGTGCAGTAGTCTCTGTTTTTGTCTTTTTTGTCGTCAAAATCCTCGTCAAAAGGTGAACCGAATTTATCCGATATCTCAAGTTTTCATTTATTCCTATCTTTTATTCAAATTAAGGTCTAAAACTACCAAGAATATAATCTATATAATCTTATTGGTTTAATCGGAATTTACATTTAGTTATATATTATATTGGTGTTAAATTTTCCAAAGAGGGGGTCAAGCATAGAGAGTCTATACCTCGGTCTTAGTTTGGTTATTCGGAGTAGACTTATATATAAACTTTTGAGTAATTACGTTTGTAACAGTTGCTGTGTTACATGTAATACTATAATAATTGAGTAATAAATTATGAACTAGAACACGTTTTATTGTTAATTTACTCTCTACAGTCACGCTATGTTTGAAATAATTTGCGTATTTCTAAGTAATGTGCGATATACCACTCATGTACAGGGTATTTTTATAGGACTTTTTTGTAATTTGTAACATTTGTTCTATAGGTATGTTAATGAAATACATGTGCATTTATATATGTATAATTTGGTTGCGGCTGTTGTGAATACTTGTTTTTATAAACCACTTTTTAGTAGTCTGTTACCTGGTCCTCGCACATAAAAACACTGCTGTCCTTTCAGGTTCAACGAGCGCTATATCCTAATAGGGGGATTTCTATTCTGCCTGTGTGGGTTCGCCATCTTCCTGCCATGGGGAAACCATTACCCAGATTACCAAGATCAAGGTCTCGTTTCAATATTGATGTTATTTTATTTTGCGATCTTATGACACCTTTTTTTGGATAAGACATTTTACACTTCAAAGTTAAATGAGGAAAAATAACATGTTTTGGCCTTTGTTTGATGATACTAATATAAAGATGTTGAGTTGAGGTGCTGTGATACTGCATTTTCATGAATGTTCGTTTTGTGATATAATATTGATATTTTTCATATGAAAACAACGTGATTTTGGCTTTATTGTTTCCAAAAAACACTATATCAATGTTACGTAGTTTGTGTATTGTCGTTTAGAGAATTCTGGAGTCCAATCATAACCAAAAGGAAACACTTTCACAACAAGCAAATAAAGCTACCTGACATCCGCGGTTTTAAATGTTATTAGTATTATTATTGTTGTTATTATTTTATAATTTGCAGTAATGGTATAAATTATTGGGTTAAATACATGTGTATATGAACCATTTGTTTTATTTCTTGCAGACTTAGTACCATCCGCACTAGCTAATCCTACAATTGCGCCAAACTCAACCGCAGCAACAAATTGGTCAACACCTTTTATAACGACCCCGGATAGCATTTGGTCAAACGCAGCAGACACAACGCATTCGTCAACGCCATTTGTAACAACACCAAATAACAACAGTTCAACAGGTGATGAACCCGAGAAGAGGGGTTGTCCTATTTCCTACAAGTGGTGTGCTTACACACCGCGAATACCTTTACCTCAGTTCCTCGTGGGCACACTCATGATTGTCATTGGCTACCCCATTTGTAACTTGATGATATACACACTGTTCTCAAAAGTCCTTGGACCCAAGCCGCAGGTAGGTGTTTAAGAGGTTTATCACGTGAATGTCCTGCTATTCAATGAATATACTTGTACTCTTTTGTGCGATATGAAGTTGGACGTATGTGATGCTCGTTTGTTAACCCTGTTGGTTCAGTTGTCGTACACCATATTCTCATTTGGGCAGAAGACATTACTTATTAATAAAAATTTACATGTTGGATGACCACGATAATTGAGAAAACTTTAAGACTCTGGTCTTATTTTCCTCGTACTTTTTTCAGTGGTTCGCTCATATCTTGCATTTTCATTTTGCATGTTTGGCATTTTGATATTAACAAAATGTTGTGGTGTACCTATGCTAGTTGCTCGCACCGCAATGGTACGCGAATCTTTTTATCTTTTATCCTAATGTACTTTCATTACCACCATCACTGAAAACTTCTGCTCTGTCATTTGAATGTCATTTGTATTACAGGGGGTAATGATGGGACTTCTCACCGGTTCTGGGAGCCTGGCACGAACCCTCGGACCAGTGTTTGTTAGTCAGGTGTATAATGCCTATGGACCGAGAGTAACGTTTATATCCACGTGTGGGATAATAATCCTGTCATTAGTTGGATGTTTATCAGTGTTTAAGAAACTTGTACCATTTAGATACCAACAAAGTAACAATTTGTAATGCGACCATATTAATAATGTGGTGCACTGGACTACTTATCATATCATGAAATAACCTGTGCTATTTGACATATTTTCAATTGCCAAGACGGTGAGAAACGCGAGACTATATCCAAAAGAGTGATGTGAAGAGGATACGATCTCTTTGCATATGAAATCAGAATACCCGATCTTTTGAATTTAATATTTCAGGGACGTTCGCATGAAATATGATATGAAATAGCATTACTTGTTCTTTCTTGATTCTAAATCATATTTTCACTAGGCGTTGAAAATATTAAGATTGATTGTATCTGTACTGTTAAACATGGTTACCACAGCAGCATTAAATCTTGATTCTAAATCATATTTTCACTAGGCGTTGAAATTATTAAGATTGATTGTATCTGTACTGTTAAACATGGTTACCACAGCAGCATTAAATCTGTTCTTTCTTTATTCTAAATCATATTTTCACTAGGCGTTGAAAATATTAGATTGATTTTATCTGTACTGTTAAACATGGTTACTACAACAGCATTAAATCTGTTTCAGTGCTGTATTTCTCCCATCCACATTTGGTTTTAATTATCTTTTCCGAGGAACATATCACTATAAGTGAATTTTAAAGAATGTGTTGTTGATGTTGAGTTCTCTATGTTTTAAATACTCGCATTACGTGATATATTTTTTTATTTTGGGTTATTTCATGTGTTCTAAATGTGGATGACAGTGAACGATTTTTGTTTTGTTTCAGTTTTACTCAATACTTGCCAATATGAAAGTGACTAAGCACAAACCGAGTTGTTTTCTGTTAAATATCAAGAGTATTTAAATTGAATTGTCATATCCTGAAACATTATGCTCTCTTAAGTGTGTATTATTGTCTATATGCAAGTATCCAATGTTTATTACTGATATTTTACTTTGATTAATGATGTATAATTGGATTTATAATTGGATATTATATAAAGAGGGACAGCGTTGATTATAGGGAGGAGGTCCGTTCCGTTATCCATTATATATTTCTAAATATTTGTTAAAGCATGATATGATATATATTTAAGAAATGACGTTATATTTAATATAAAGATCAAGTAATATTTGTGAGTTTTATTTATTACAATACAAAATAGATATATAACGTTTCTCTCGTTCAACGGACGATAGATCGCCATCTGTTTGTACAAAAGCTGTTTCTACTCAATCCATAGAAATTCTGGATGTAAAAACTAAGGACTTTTTATTTAGCCAGCATATTGCCATAAACGTGTTCACGTTTAAGTGTGGGTTGTAAGCACTTCTCCTTAATTTTAATTGTCGTAAATGAGTTAAATCAATGCGCGGCTTATATTGTAAATGTTTGTCAGCATTGGATATATAATAAGTTAATTATGTGTTCTATTATCTTGTACGTCGTCTGTACAATTTTCGAGATCGTAAGTGGAATACATTACTAGTGAATTTTGAGTCGTCGCTGTTGGCCTTAACCTGCAAGTCACGTTTCAATTCATTCATACAAAGTCACGGTTCAGAACATAAATGTGCAGTTGACATTCGTCTGATACATTTCTTTGGTGCACCTCTCATCCAGTTTTTTTGCTCTTTATTTTTTTTTTTTTTTTTTGAGTTTCGATTTTTTTCAGTTGCCTCCTAAATTCCTAATTTAAGCATTTTGCATCACTGACGAGTCCTATCCTTAAAGGACGAAACAGCTGTATGATGTAGCATCACTGACGAGTCCTAGAAGGACGAAACAGCTGTATGATGCAGCATCACTGAAAAGTCCTAGAAGGACGGAACAGATGTATGATGCAGCATCACTGACGAGTCCTAGAAGGACGGAACAGCTGTATGATGCAGCATCACTGACGAGCCTAGAAGGACGAAGCAGCTGTATGATGCAGTTTAATAAGTAGGTGGTTACTTTATCCACTTCTAAAGTTGTATCGAAAGGTGCTATTCTTTTGCATGTCTTTTGTTTGAAAATACTAGATTTCAATCTGATGTTAATATCAAACTTGCAAGACATGTAAAACTTTTTAAGCATGCAGACCTTTAGCGTATTAAGAACCCCTTAGTGTTCTTTTTTAATTTAACTAAAACTTAAGTTGTGTATACATACGAACGTACATGTGCATTGTTGTATCTCGACCCCAAAACTAACAAGAGGAAATCTAATCGATTTCAACCATGCTTTATTTTCAAATCATAAACAATGTTCCTAAATTTTTTAAACTGGTATGTTCCCGATATTTTACTTGTTATAAACAGGTCTCACCCTGCCATAATTTGTTTTAGAAACTATTCCAAAGTAGCTGGATTGTCACAGTTATTTTTATCACATGAAGCGCGAAATTTAGCTCACTTACTACAATGAATTTGAGATCAATTTAATTATACACGTGTACAACCTGGAGTACCGACCATTGCTACATATACGCAGACACTAATGTACAAGTTACGACCAGATAACTCAATTAATAAGGAATGCATACTATCAATTTCACTATATTTACAAAAACATGAATTAAATGCGTCCCAGTATTGAAAACTAAATTAACAACTGATAAATTAATAGATATATGTTGGTATATGTCAATTTTCTCAAGAAGTCTCAAATATGTCAATATTTTTTTAACACGTCTACCTGTATCTACTATATTTGAAGACATATCTTACCACATGATAACGATAAGCGATACCCGTTACCTGTCGTTTGTAACAGTGAAACGCGATCAACTGGAACGGCAGTCTAGTGATCGAAAGAAACTAACCACCGTCTCTACAACACATTGATTCCATACAATTATACGTAAAAGGAAACTGCAATATATCTGTCGAGAATACATGCACTTTACATAATCCAATTTCAACATCACTAACAGTATATGGCACAATACATTACGCAATGCATTATTAAAAGGCGTTGTCCGCCGCTGAAAGAACCGTCATAGCTGCCGAAGATCCCAAGAACAAGCATACAAAAATCACGTACTTACGGGGGCATTTCTTCATGATATGATACCGTTTAAACAAAGTATTTATCGTAGTCTGGTGGAAGTAAAAACTAAGACTATTCGAAATAGTAGACTTAATTCAAATAACAGAATTTCGATGCCACTGTTTGTATTATCAGTTATCCCGAATACTAAATGAAATAATATCTCATCTTGATATGGTGTATTTCGTTGCCGCTACATCCTCGATATTCCTGGGGTTACGATTAATTGCAGTCTTAGGAGTTCTAATAACACTCGCATATTGCGGTAAATTTAACCATGGTATACTAACTTCTTTTTGGCAGGCATGCATTATTAAAATATTTACAATGATTGATATTAAAAGCTGTCACAATATACTGAATTCTGTGATTCGCGGTCAAGTACAAAATTTGAATTCCTTAAACAATTACGTTTGTACTACAATTAAACCCCGTTATAAGTCTTATCAAGCTTTTTTGACGTCTCCGGACACATCGCCAGAACACTGACTTCGTCGGTGAGACGATACCCGGACATGCGAGGAGTCGCGCAGACGGAAAACCTGTCAATCAACCAGCCCGACCAACCAACAAAGTACCAACGGCTTCAAAGCACAGTGTAATATATAATCAAAATAAAGAAAACACCATATTACTTTAAACAAATAAATCAGAATATCAACCTTAAACTTCTATATTAAATAATTTATAAGTACTTTAACAATTTAGAATAACAAGTTATCTATGATAACAACAATATTTAAGACATACATATCAACAATGGACAGCAAAAAAATATATGAAAAATATCAACCATATGATATGGCACATGTTCACATGTATCAATGTAACAAAATTACAACATATAAATAAAAAATGCTCTTTACAAAATCAGGGGATAAGTGATATCACATTTCTCTTTTCTCCACTCTGATTTTATTTCAGTTGCCATGACATCCAAGGAAAACATCGGTCAGATTAATACAAAATTGATTACGGACAAGTTACATACAAAATATGATTACTGACAAGTTACATACAAAACTAATTACCGACAAGTTACATACAAAATTGATTACTGACAAGTTACATACAAAATTCGATTACTGACAAGTTACCGTCAACTGGTCGCTGACGTCAAAAGATTTAACAAAAAATTATTTGGATGAATTTGTTTTGATCTTATGTGAGTTTCCATTCGATCTGTTCAAAACAATTTTTTTCTAAGTCTCTACCATGCTAAAATTTCTAGAACAATCAGAAATTATAAAATAAAACACGTTTGTACAGTGCATGATCTTTCAGTGTTTAAAGAGCCAGACCCAGGGCAAAGAAGATGGCTAGTTCATACTTTTGTATCGCTCTCTGTTTGGCTCTCTCGTGTAGTATCACTCTAAAATCATATTCATAAATACTCTTATGGAATATTCGCTTTAGATAGATCCATTTCGCGATGTTCTATATGTTCGTTACCGTATCGTAGCCCCCATTTGAGGGCCTCTTTGTAATTAATCGTAGTTTTCCTCGTAATCTTCACGTTTTTGTGTCACATCTAAGCATTAAAAGATGTGATAAATACATACGTTAGATGATTTCCATACATGATATATAGAGTATTGATTGCATTTATCGGTAAAATCTCTTTACAAGCGATGTCACTTGGACGTACTACTCACCTCTTCCACCATTTTTGTTTTGGTTCTGACCGCGTCTGAACGTATCACGCGACATTTCCTCATTAATATTCATATCCTGGTTTTGATTATTAAGACTAATTCCGGCACCGATATCTCCGGTACCCTTTCAATTTCAAGTTCGAAACTTTATACAAGTCTTTATCTATATATTATCTATTAGTATACAACCAACATTTCCAGTCAATAATACATGAAAAAATATCTATAACGGAGTGGGTCTGGCTCTTTAAATGAAAGGTCAGTCTTGTCTCTTCGCTTTAATCATAAGACATCACTTTACTAAATTGAAAGCCTACATGCAAATTTCATAAATATAACATCACTCCTAAACTGTCAAAATTCTGGGGTACATCACACCAAAATGGGGACCAAGAGGAGAGCTTATCTATTTCTTCCGATTTTTCAGATCACCTTCAACAAAGCCGACTGCTTTTATATCAGGGATCGTTCCAGGACGGACTAAGGACCACGTGAATGCCATTTGATAATATTCGCATGGAAAATATTGATTTCATATATTTTATATATATATATATCTCCTAAACATAATTGCAATTAGGGGCAAGTAAACATCTGCATCTTGATTCTGACATTTCTTTCGATCAATTTTAGATTTCACATGTTTCAAAATTTAGGCCCTTCTCGTTACTGATGAGTCCTTGAAGGACAAATCAGCTGTAAGGTAGCTTGTATAAAAAAGTGCTTTTTACTTGCGTCTATTGATACAATCTTTCAGTCAAATGTGCAACATATAAGGTAGTAATACAAAGATACTGTATATGTACACTGTCATCTGTAGGAAAATGTATGTAATTCAGTTTCGCTATCAGTAATATATATAAAATTTGTAAAAAAATATATTGAATGTATAATTGCCATTAGAACCAGCAATGGCTATGATACTAAATGTGAAATCAACATAAATAGTTATAATCAGTTAAAACTTCAACAAAAATATTGTTATAATCAGTTAAAAACTTCAAAGAAAATATTGTTATCATCAGTTAAAACTTCAATTAAAACAATGTTAAAATCAGTTAAAACTTCAATGAAAACAATGTTAAAATCAGTTAAAACTTTAACGGAATTAAGTGAAGTTTCCATGGTCACATGTATCAGATCGACTCAAATTTAATTTGTAGACATTTTATTAAAATTTTGTATAAATATATTTTTATCATAATATAAATTGTCAATAGTGGAATAATACATATATATATAACATTTTATCTCAAATATACAATTTCAAAAATATATTTTCATAACATCTTTTCAACAAGGGAGACATTATCATAAGATAACAAAAAAGAATATATAATATAGCAACATACATCACTTTAAAGTTATCACTACTCTTGGCAAACATCGATATCAGAAATGAAAAACCGAGATATAACTGAATATGATATCATAAAATAATGATTTTGTGTCATTGCCGTCACTCGAGGAGGGATTCACAAATCCCTACTGGAAATATGCCAGATATACTCTAGATGGAGATAAGCAGTGAACATGGCTCTATTTAATGTTAGAATACAAAACTGTATTTTGTATGCAGCACACTACCATTCTAAAATGTATGCATGTCAAATTCAAAAGGGAGTGAACGTAATACAATGTCAAGCACTTATAACAATAAACAGCAAAAGAAAGTTTCCACTCTAATGGTAAATTATCCGACGTCAATGAAATAATGCATAATTTTAATTGATCGTGTCAGTCCTACAGTTAGACCTTAGGGCAAAACTAAAAATTTCTTACTAAAAGTCAGGGGTGGGTTAAATGTAGGATAGAAATTCTTAACGATGTATAAATGCAAGACTTGTTAAACGACAAAAAAGGCACGATGAATATAGTCTATTTCAAATCAAAGTCAGGAAATACCTTTAACTAAAACTTTGTTAAATAGTACTTCAAATATTACAAAGATACATTTCAAACCCATACTGTTCTTTCACTTAATGAGGAATGTTGGTTTCACTCTAATATTGCCGGTCGATGGCTAGAAAGTTATCCCAATTGAGAACGTCCCCAGTATCAGATCTTTTTCTACATTACAATAATTTCATATCATGTCTGATAACCTAGCTATAAACTCCTCCTCGAGATTGGAGATCTGCATCTTCTGTTCCTGTACTGATGCCTGAAATACAATTTTGATTGAGAGAGTAAATCAATAGTGCAGACATCGGAAAATTTAAAAAAAAAACACACACACTGAAGCACAATAATGTCAATAAATCTGACACTTATGAAGAAAATGCTGATTATTAAAAAGAAAAAAGAAAGACAAAATCCATGGAGTGACGAGAATTTCATCATATACTCATTTGGAATACAATATCATACAGTGCAGTCAACACTGTGATTCCATCTATCTTACCTTTAGTTTGAAGACATTTTGAAGTAGCCCTGAACTGCTCTCGCCAATATCAGTTTGTGTGTTGGTGACAGAAGACAGATTTCTCTGAACCTGATCGAGGATGGACTCTTGAGATAACAACAACTCGTTGAGCTGCTTATGTTTGGCATTGATCTGGTCTGCCAGTTGCAAGTATGCACTGTCGCTCTTCTTCTGAACATCTTCAGTAGACTTATTAACAGAGACATATTTTGGCTCTTCCTCATTGAAACTACTATTGTTGATTTTGTTTTGCTTAACCATCAGATTACTGCCATTATGAATAACATCAAAGTCTGCGTTACTGATTTTTCTGCTTCCATGTACTAGATGTAGCTTGGATGATATGACTTCTGGTATAGAGCTTGGAATATCTCCCGGTCCCGAGTGACACAGTCTTCCATGATTTTGTTGAGCACACCTGTGCGGACTCAATCCTGAGCGTTGCTCCTTGTAAAATGACGTTTTATCGTCAACATTTCCTGATGGCTCAGAAGAACTCTGAACAGTAGACAACAAATCAATATCTTCGTATGTAAGACCAGCTTGCTCAAAATGCAGCTGATTACTGTGATTACTTTGTACCAAATTAGACTCATGTCTGAACGATGTTTGACCTACAAGCATTGGAGGTGGTAATTGTGACAGTAGCGGACTTGAGATTTCTTTTGAATTCTTGTGGCTAGTCCAGTCTAAAGGTAAACATGATTGGCAAGCGTAATGATCTCCACATCCACTGATAAACTTTTTGGGGCTAGTCTTGGTAAAGAATGAAACTGGTTGTACCTGGCTAGATTGTGTACATAATGGACTTGATCCTTCACAGCTAGTGTGGTTGTGATCAACATTGGACTCAAAAGAAACATATGTATTGTAAGGTGTGCTAAATTGTTCTTGGTTAGACTGATTCTGCAAAAGGTTTGACTGAGTAGTGCTAGATTGATCAACTGGAAAGCTTGTCGGACGACTATGGTTTGAATCTACATTACATGGTGTGTTCAGGGAAACGTTGGCCTCTTTTAGATTTGTCTGGTCAGGACAAAGTGTTCGAAGCACTGTTGTTTTATTGTGACAAGCCTGGTCTTCATGTGATTGTGAATGTATTAAGATTGGTTGACTGAATTTTAAGTTTGATTCATTAGAACGGTTTGTATCAAGGCAACTATGAGTAGGGCTGCTTTTGTCAGACTGACAATGGACAAGGTTACTTCGATCAGAGTAAGCATCCTGGGTATTACTGATATCACTATCCATTTCTACTTCAGTAAGGTAATCGGTCCAGTTATTCACATTCTGTTTGTTCACCTGGGTTTGAAGCACCTGGTCACATAATGATCCTTCTTCTGTCACGCTTAATAAGTTTTCACAGTTTACTGCAGTGTTGGCATATGGACTCCCATGATGAACATGAGGTCTTTCCTCACTGTGTGACTGACAACTTCTAGCTTCGTGGTTATGAAAAGGGCTGCCTTCCCCACAAGGAACATAAAGACTTCCAACACTACATCTTAGAGCACTGTCTTCTCTCCCCGAAATCTGTGGACTCAAGATTGGTGGACTACCACTTATGGTTTCAGAAGTACCAACGATGGTCTGGGAGTTTTCCTAGTGAGAAACACTTTTGATGGACTGAAGGTCATCACTACAAATCGAGCGAGAACTAATGGGACTGTTATCACTGCCAGCCTGAACACTATTGTTACATGAGGTTCTGGAAGTATTGGTTAGGTCACAAACCAGAAGACTTTTAAGCAAAGGTGTGTCAAGCTTTTTAGCTCCTGAAATACTCCCACTACAACTTACTTCCATGGATCCTGAAGACATCGCTGATGCTTTGGATTCAAAATCTTTGTTGCTGGTGAGAGGATTTTTTTCACCCTTGTCACCGTCATTTTTTATCTCTGAATTTTCTGCTCCATCTTTATCATGAAGTGGGAATTCGGAGATATCTTCCTGGAGGCTAAGTTGTTTTGTAACTGCAATAAGGGTATTCACTTTCTTTTTCTGTTCTTCTAATAACTGATCTCCTTCAGTCTTACTGGAAATGAAGAAATAACGCAAAATAAAGTGACACCACGACATTTAATTTAAGACATCGCTGGTTTTGCTCAAAACTTTTGGGGAAGATCTCAAAATGTTTGCCTAAAATTGGCAATAATTTATCACGTTTTTGAGATTTCTAATACAACGTTATCTGATCCATTTTACTTCCAAGTTTTGATATTAAATAACATGGTGTATATGTGTAACAGAAAGGTGCATGCACTGGACACAATTCCTTAATGCCTTTTCGTCTGAGAATTTACTTTAAATGCAATCTTCAAGTTTCAGTGATTTTTGGGTCCCTGCCATTTTATGGGTCATAAGGATATTTGTATTTCTGTGAAGACAAATTTATACTAAAAAGTTAATACTGATGTCATTTTACAACAATGTTGATGATGTCTTGCTTACTCTATGATAATATTGATACTGGATATGAATTTGGCCTCCTTCGTCCATGTGTCCCGTACAATGACAGATCGGGACAAAACAAACTTCACCGACTGATTTGGTATCTTTAGTCTAAAAATGGTTTGTGGTACCTCATTGTCCGTCATTACTGTAAAAAACAAACAGGATAAACATATGATTAAAACGGTTTAAAATCATCAATATTCTTCATTACAGTAACTGTGATCAGATCGCAAGTCATCAATATTGAGTAATAGAATTTTACAGTAAGGCTGAGATGTCCCTGTCCACTAAGAGACCCATTTTTGCTTATTTTGTTTGCTAAACTTAAAAACAAGCTGTGAAACCTCTTCATCATGCACTCATCAATATTCCATGAAATAAACATTGAAATTGATGATGAAATTGATAGTTATCAATTTGAGGCATAGTTATCCTACGAAGAATTTGTGAGCAGCATCATAACAGGTGTCATCTGTTATACGATAGGCCCAAGGAGTGACAGAAAAATCTTGTAGTAGGTAAATGGGAAACAAATTTGTAAACGTGTAATCTTTTCTCTTGTCTTGCACTAGTGAAATCGATCATTGGGTTGAAATGAGATTAAACCAACAAGTCAATGTTCTTGAGTCAATAAATTAACTTTCGTTTTCATTTACATCAAAACCTGTCTCATTAATCTCAAACATAAAGCAAATATTTAATATCGGTGAGATTTTTAAAAATAATTACTGTAAAATAATAGATTTTTTTTTTCAAATATGTGGGCTACCTCAATCCATGAATTTCCACATCCATGAAATGATGAACAGATAAAAGTTGACACAGATTTCAATATTTAATATGTGACTTTGCAGTATAGCATAAAGATTCAACGATGATGTTTGTTTCTTTGCTTGATGTCTTGCATTGTGGCATCAACATTAGCCAGCTGAATGAATCATGGATGAACAGGCCAATGACCGAAGCTTCCAAAGTGTAGCACACAGAAATGACATTACCTAGATAAGGTAGCATACTACCCCTTTCTGTCATATCATATTAACACAATGGTCCAATAAATAGCACTCTGATCTTCAAGAGTTACTGCCCTTTGTTTCACTCTTTATGTACAGTGGTATAGTGATAAGCTAGACCTGATGGGGGCCAAGCATAATGAATAGTAACATATTAAAACAATTTGTAACAGACACACAGGGTAGTACACAGGTAACTAGTAAAAACATACAGGTAGCACTTTTCCTTCAATAACATGATAGAAAGCTAATTAATGACATGTATCATGTAACTAACAGAACACATAGGTCACTACTCCATCACCACTTCTATTCACAGGTAACACTTCTAACGCTCAGACTGAAGTTACAGGTCTGCATGTTACTGTTCATATTTGTCAATTGTGCATGCTCCTGCATGATACGCAGCTTTTTTTTTGGGGCAAAAAATTCTTGAAAAGAGCTTGCCACCTAGTGTAGATACATGGTTAGGTTAAATAATGTGTCTCCTGATTGAAAAACTATGCTTTTATGTGGTGTGTTCAATGAACTGCTATCTGTCATGAATATTGAAGCTGACGATTACAGAATCAATAGGGATCGACTGATAATCAAGAGCACACCCAGGCTAGAATAACATGCCCAGGCTAGAATAACATGCCCAGGCTAGAATAACCTACAGGTACCTGACCTAAGGTATATACTTGACAAAGAAATGTTGCATTTCATACTTAAGAAAAATATCTAGAATCTTACATCAAATTACGTCCTGTATATGAATTAATTTAAATTTGTTCAATCACTTTGTGCCTCATCCAGGATGAGTATATGAGTAAGAAAGATACAAATATCAGAGCTGATATGCACAGGTCCTTTGGTTCTTACGGCATGGATTAAAACTATCCGACATCAGAAAAAAGTCTGTGTTCGTCCTGTTTATACTATTTCATAATCTCTAGAGAACAAAATTACCTCATTACTGTTTTACCTCGAAAATGGACTTTCCCTTGATGCAAAATGGATGACAATTGGATATGTCTCTGGAATAATGGTGTCACTCCCATGGTTTAAGATAACCCAGCAATATTTTTTCCAACACTATCGCATAAATAATATGTAATATATATGCATCATTTCCATCAAGCATTTAATACGCAGCAAACCTACTTCAGCATATGTTCAGTGTTTCCAAAAATAGAACAAGTCGTCCCAAAGTGAGAACCTGGCTTCATCAGAAGATATAGATGACCTCAGATATTTTTTTCAGTGCTTATTCAGAAGGACATATATCTACCGATGCAGTGCTACAATTCTTCAATGGAAATGCTGCTTATGTTAATATAAATATCTTCATTATTAAAGTTACTCCCAACAACTAATTTACATTGTTCCATAATTCATCAAGATAAAAGTTGAACATATTAAGCATGGAAAAACATTTCTAATCTTGTGTTTTTATTGCTTTAACAGCACTGTACATTTTTTTATTTAGGAAGGCATTGATCTATTTATGAGCAAGAGTTTGAGCATGAACTTTCATGAAAATGCCTTGTCCTTGTGTGGATCACGTTTTTGAAAAACAAAAATTTCCCCCAAAAAATTGCATTGTTCACACATCACTGACAACTTTTTTCGAGTTTGCAATTTTGGCATGTCAAAGCCAGACATCCAATCACCAAAATATAAACGCATGAAAATCATTACAACTAACAGTATATGTTGATAGACTATAGAGATTACTTACTTTTCATATGACTGATGCTGACAGCCTGGATGTCCTCTGGTACAATGTATTCATAACAGGAATAGCCAGTACTCTCTTCCGAGAACAGACCCAGACATTGAGATACTCTGTAACACGATAACGTATAAATATTGCCTTGAAAGTGTGAGAAGATTTTTTCAGTGAAATTGGCTTGGTTGTAATTATAACTATTATCTTCTAATTGAAAAAGAAAACAATATCACTCTTTCTTAGCAAAAAAACCATAGAAAGGTCAGTAAAGCATTGATAATTTGGTCAAGCATTGGCCAAGCATCACTATATGACTTAACTGAATGACAATGTAGGTACATGTAATTAAATATCAGTTATGCAAAGTAATGAATATCATGTTATATACAACTTAAGTAATAAATCAAAACACGTTTGAATATCCTAACAAGAGATCCCAGAGGGATCTTGGCGCCCACCATATAAATAAGGATCTGTTTTCAGTTCTTGAAGATTTATTTATTTTTTTGTTACAGGTATTGTTCATGAACTGGTCTTCATTGAATGTACTCAATGATGGCACAAGATATTTTTATTAAGCACCAATTAGCAAATATCATTTGAAAAAGATCCCAAAGTATTATTAGATATCAGTAAGTTACAGGTGGATAATGGACATGGTCTTGAATCAATATGATAGAATATCGAAGAAAATATGCTTGGGCTGTATTACTGTCGACATCCAAGAAGGTTGCCAGTGGGCCACCTTGATTTCAAATCAGTCCAAAAAAGGTACAATGCACAACTGGGGATCAAGGGAAAACTGCATATGAAATTTGAGAAAGATCCATCCAGTACTTTCCCAGAAATAGCATTAACAAACTGTCGGCCATCTCGAATTTGAATCAGTCCAAAAAAAAGACAATGCACAACTAGGGACCAAGGAGAAACTGCGTATGAAATTTGAGAAAGATCCATCTAGTCTTTTTCCATAAATAGCGGTAACAAGAATTGTTTACGGACGGACGGACCACGGACGCAAGGCGATTTGAATAAACTGAAAAATAAGCCACCTCCAAAAATTCCTCTCACTTATTGGGAATCAAATTTGCAGTACACCTCAGTTCAAATAGGTGGGTAGTTTGAACACAGGATTTAAAAAAAATAATTTTCTGTCTAGTGATAGTTTGAATCCTTTCAAATCTTGTTTCACTTACATTTTGATATGCTCAAACATATTGTGAGACTGTATATGTGGTTACCATAAACATTGATGTTAAACCCTGTGGGTAGCGAGCCGTAAATGTCCATCATAAGCCAAGTTACACACATACATGTCACTTAATCAGCCCCTCTTAAGGCGATATTAATGTTCAATTAAGTAACTTCTCTAGATATGGAAAGTACTGCACTTATCATACCGTTGGTCATTAAAAAGGATTGTTCCATCCATACTGTGTTGACTACACCACTCTAGTTTGTCCAAACCCATCACAGACAACTCGTGTATCACCCTGTTTCTGACTGGCCGCCCAACAGCTACCAGCCAAGTGTTCTGTTTATCTGAAAATATAACAAGTTATTATTTTTTGATATCCCTTGAGCTGCATGTACATACTTGCCAGTGAGACACCTATCTCGAGAACATGTTCAGTAAACTGGAATCTTCTGATAAGGTAATAAGGATCCTCTAGCATCAGTCTTAATGATAGCATGACCAATAATGCGCAACACAATTTTGTGATTTCTATGACTTTTATTCAATCAAGATATGAAGGAGAAAAAAATAGAAAATGTTTATAAGACATCATTGCTCCTGTTCCAATGCATTTAAGTACTGTTATTTGATAAATTTGCAGAAGTTGTCAAATGTGACCTTTGACCCTTTAACCTTCACAAACAACCACCTTAATGTCATATGATGTAGAAGTTGATGTTATGATACTATGGGGGAAAAACATGAATAAAAATCTCATGGTTCTCATGATATTAATTTGGAGTAAGACAGGACACCATTAATAAAACTGTACCTGTATCTACAAAGAATGGCACTTTACTCATACTCTTTACCAAATACTACTAACAGTTCACAGAGCCTGGTAGTTCTCAAGTATGCAGTGGAGCTTCCTACCATCACAGCTCACCATATTTCCTTTTTGTGTATTCTACATCTGCAACTACAGCTAAATCATACATTGATGAGGAAATTGGCCATGGGCATGGCCATTGTAAAGCCCCCTGCCCCACCCTAAATTTCCCCATCATTGCTATATTTATTTTGGTGTCATTAAGTGTGGAGGACCATAATTAAGATAAAATATTAAGCCAAGAAACATGGACTGAAAATAAAGTATAGAGCGTCTTCACCATGGTGGGGTTCATTTCAAAATAATGGTGAAATGAACCACGGGACACTTTACCATGGGCTTATCATATTACACAGACCCAAACTGCATTGCAGGGTGGATAACCTGACTTAAGACAATCTTTGATTCAATGCAGAATGTAAATTTCAATCAAAGGAACAATAGAAGATGTTACTATGCGTAAGTCAAGGACAACGTTATGACCAGCAGAGAACGAACCATTCCCTATTGCACCATATAAAACGATTTCTTCATGCTGGACAAACAATTTGTCTCAGTGGAGGAGTGAAAAGCTTTGACAAACATGGATTGAGAATGGTTTCATAATACATTATGTGACTAGTGTTATATGAATACAAACTTGATGAAGGAACTGTTCTCCCACCAGTCTTTGTGTCATCTGTTGAGATCTTTCCTAGAAAATGGATGGTCTCATACTGCAGTTTGTCACCGTATTTTGGCAGAATTTGCATCTGTACCAGGAATGATCTGTGATTGCTCTTGAAAGTACTTACTATAAAAGATCATTATAAAGTACACTCTAAACATGTGTAAATATTTGCTGTTGTGAGCAAAGAGAATAATTAACTGAAAAAAATTATACAAATTGAATGTAGAAATAACACACAGAAATGTTATGTCTTCACATTTTATAAGGAATGTTAATTAACTCCATAAAGAAAGGTTATGAGTGATATTTCAATGACAGCACTCCTGATATGTCGTCTTCATCAGAAAATTGACAAGTGAGTGGGAGGATGATAAAACTGACAAGGTTTTTCAGCTATACTGTCAGTTTCAGAAAATATCTTGGTTACAGAATTTAACAGTTCTTTCTATTATTTATAGGCCAAAATAAAATAAAAAAATCTGTAACTATATATAATGAAAAATGTTTGATGTTATATCTGTGTTAGCGCATTATCTGTAAACCGAAAGTCAAAGTGTCATTACCTATGAAAGACAAAATTAGGGATTCATTCTTCAGATCAAAGAAACATTACCTATGAAAGACAACATTAGGGATTCATAATACAGACATGTCTTAAAAAAATGATGAATATGTAACAGTGTAAAACATACTGATGATGCATTTGTGTTAGTAAAATATCCCAAGTCAAAGATTTATTATCTATGAACTACAATAATAGAGATTTGTTTTTTTTATCTATGAACAAAAATGTCATTGATTCATGTTCTCTGAACGACAATGTTTGAGATTCATAACTATCAACAACAATGGTTGAGATTCATTATCCATGAACCACAATGTAGTGAGACAAAGCAAATCAACTTACTCTGTACTCTGTCCTGCTCAGTTGGCATACTGTTACTCATAAAAACATGTTCATCTGCTATCTGAAACTGTCGACTAAACGTCTCACAGTCATCACAATGCAGTAGAGTGGCAATCGGGAGACCTATAACATTCACCTAGATTAGACAAAAAGTAGATAGTAGATATCAAAGAAAATGTTCAGTCCATGACTTATGAGCAGAATGAAACATGATCTATATATATGCAGGTACTTGTAAAAACAATGGAAGAAGACTTTTATAGAGAATTTGCTCTATTTCCCTACTGGGCTCTGCTCCTCCCATCCCAAGTTTATACAAAATTATCTCCCTTAACCTTTGTATACTTCTGACCTAATTGGGATAACATCCAGGCATTCCTACTGAAGAAGGATTTTGAAGAATTTGCTCCATTTCTTCTATTGGGCCCTGTCTTGGGGGCTGAGACCTCCCCTACATTCTCTTTCACCCAATCATACAGACCAAATTGGGACAGAATCTTGATATTTCTACAGAAGAAAGGTTTAAAAGAATTTTCCCCATAATTGGCCCTATCCCTCACATCTCAGAAGTCCAGGACCCACTAGTTAGACAAAATTGAATTCCCTTCACCCAAGGATGCTTCAGATCAAATTTAGGTCAAATCCAATCATTCCTACATGATGAGTAGGACTTGATATTCTCTATTCCCCTATAATGACCCACCTTTTCATCAAAGAGGGCTGAGACCCATCGTTTATACACCATTCATCATTCAGCAGGCAAAACTGGAACAGAATTATGGAATTTCTACAGAAGATGGGTTTTAATTAATTTCCCCTATTGAGCCCCATCTATCAGACCCCTGGGGCCAAGAAACAATGCTTTATACAAGCTTGGTTTCCTCTCCATCGAGGACACTTCTAAGTAAAATTGGTCAAAATCCATTCAGTCATTTATGACTATTAGTGATTCTTAGTAAAAAGTTGATTGATGGCAGTGTCATGCCATTGCATAAGCTATTTGGGCTCCTTCAGACCAAGTGAGCTAAATACTGGTGCTTTATACATCGGGAATCTTAGTGATTCTTGGCTGTAGTCTAACATAGCACAAAGAAGCTGGGGAAATGTATCAGAAATATGATATGCTGGGAACAAATTCACAGGCAATCACTCAGGAGACAAATGAATGTACAGTAGATAAATGTACAGCAGATAAATGTACAGCAGATAAATGGATAGCAGATAAATGTACAGTAGATAAATGTACAGTAGATAAATGTACACCAGATAAATGTACAGTAAATAAAGCAGTAGATAAATGTACAGTTGACAAATGTACACCAGATAAATGTACAGTAGACAAAGGTACAGTAGATAAATGTACAATAGATAAATGTACTGTAGATAAATGTACAGTAGATAAATGTACAATAGATAAATGTACTGTAGACAAATGTACAATAGATAAATGTACTGTAGATAAATGTACAGTAGATAAATGTACAGCAGATAAATGAACAGTAGATAAATGTACAGTAGATAAATGTACAGTAGATAAATATACAGTAGATAAATGGACAGCAGATAAATGTACAGTAGATAAATGTACAGTAGATAAATGTACAGTAGATAAATGTACAGTAGATAAATGTACAGTAGATAAATGTACAGTAGATAAATATACAGTAGATAAATGGACAGCAGATAAATGTACAGTAGATAAATGTACAGCAGATAAATGTACCAGAGACAAAGGTACAGTAGATAAATGTACAGTAGATAAATATACAGTAGATAAATGGACAGCAGATAAATGTACAGTAGATAAATGTACAGTAGATAAATGTACAGCAGATAAATGTACCAGAGACAAATGTACAGGAGAAAACTTTACAGAAAACAGAAGTACACAAAACAAATGTAAAAGACACGTATGAATGACAAGTTTACGGGAGACATACGTACCGGTAAGTGTCCGAGTATACTTGAAATGCTTTCAGACACATACACAACAATTCCTGTGTGTGTAACAACCATTAGAAATCCACCAGCAGCCTGTTAAATAAGAAATAGTGTTCACATAATGTATAATAAGTAACCCTGATTCTAATTCATAACAACTTGATTATGGAAATTTTATCAAGATAAGGTAATGATGCTATTGAGATAAAGTATACATTTATGTGATCTCTTATAGATACAACATACATATGTATAATGTAGTTCTGACCTCATTCAGATACATTGTACCTGTAGTGTATGTAATGTACATATCTGTATTATGTCTATGACATCATTCAGATACATTGTACATGTAGTGTATGTAATGTACATATCTGTATTATGTCTATGACACCATTCAGATACATTATACATGTAGTGTATGTAATGTACATATCTATATTATGTCTATGACATCATTCAGATACATTGTACATGTAGTGTATGTAATGTACATATCTATATTACGTCTAAGACATCATTCAGATACATTGTACATGTAGTGTATGTAATGTACATATCTATATTACGTCTATGACATCATTCAGATATATTGTACATGTAGTGTATGTTATGTACATATCTGTATTATGTCTATGACATCATTCAGATATATTGTACATGTAGTGTATGTTATGTACATATCTGTATTATGTCTATGACACCATTCAGATATATTGTACATGTAGTGTATGTAATGTACATATCTATATTACGTCTATGACATCATTCAGACACAATGACAGTTATGCAGTGTATTTATGACTTTATATTACAGTCAAGCCAATGTCACTTGCGAGTGAGTTGGTTGATAAGTGAGGCGCTGCACATTGGGTGTGAATACCAAAAAGTATGCAGGGCGTGTAAGATTAATCCAAGTAAGTTTCAATCACAACACACATGAAGCTTCACCAGTGAGCAGGATATCTGCTGGGCTGACTAGTTAATTTGCCTCTGACGCAAAGCTTCATCAGGGCCTTGTATCAGAGATGAAACTGGTCAGTAAATATTCCACTCACTGGTGATGCTTGGTGTGTGTTGTGATTGAAACAGATGTGGATTAATTATGACTCCACTTAGATACAATGTACATATGAGTACTATACTTAAGATGTCTGTAAGGTATGTTTTTGTATGTGTTCTCTACCTGTAATTACCTTATCTATACAATGTATGCATGGAAGCCATTGCCTCATTTAGATACAATGCGCAATGTGCATACACTGTATTTGATGGAAATCAACATATTCTTCCTATGTGTCATTTGTTTCCAAACAGCAATATCAGCCAATTTTGATGCAGTAACAGTTTAGTAAGAAGCACTCTGATTGGTCAAAACTAGGAAAGTTATATAATTATAATTATCAATGCTGTGATGATATAACATTTTTTCAAACAGCTTAATTCCCATATTTCACTGGCAAAAATGTAATTCATTTCACAATTATACCTTATTCTGAAAGTGTTTCACTGTATCAATATGGCTGTTACCTCAATGAGACACTGTTGTAGAGTGTCAGATGACAGGAAATTTGGTTTCCATTTCTTTGGAGCCATCTTCTTTTCCTTAACACCTGAAACAGGAGTATATATGTCTGATAATTACTTATTACCTAGAGAGAGTTTGGCTTGAGTATCTTTACATAGCTAAAATGAAAAATTTGGTGAAAAGTTATGATTTTAATGGAAACCCAAGCAGAACTGTGCATAAAATGCATTTTGTTACAAAACTCATCCCTGTTGCTACTGGCCACCATGATTAGTTCTCTTTATTGCTTGTAGCTCACTTTGTGTATATGACCCTCAAAAGGTCAGAACAAAGCATTCTACTTGTGTAAATGAACATACTTAGAAACCCTTCCTCCAACCTGCCCATGTGTATGCAAATTTTTCAATTCTCTTTGTAACAAAGGTTGTTGAGCATTAACTTTCTACTATTTACCGATGTAAAAATGCAAAATATGTACTCCTAAGTTTAACATTACCTGTAGTTAACTGATACTTTGATTCGACCAAATTTCTTTAATAAATTCAAATTAAAATTTTCTCGAAATAGAATAAATAATCTACAAGTTTAAAAAACATCTCTTCTTGACATTTGTCAGATAAAGACATTGAAATTAAAAAACTCTTTATCTAATCAAAACACCTGAGGATGTACAGGTACCAGGTCTTTTTAATAAGTTAAAAACTTTTCCACACATTCAAACTAATATCACTGAGGTTGAAAAAGGTATTAATATTTCTAGATCATTATGAAGTGATCAAGACCCATTTACCTTTTCTGTTCCAATTTAACCGTTTGCATTTATGGCTTCTGTTTGTAAAAGATTCAGTTGGAAATTTTTCAGATTATAAAATAAAAAAAAATGTTTTAATCCTCCTCCACACAAGATATATTTTAATATTATGATTTAATTGTAGCCATATCTAAAAAAAATTTACAAAATGTTATCTATTTGAAGCAAATGGTTCCAAAAGACTCTGTATACACTTCTAAAATTCATAATTATATCAACTTATGATCATTACTCCTTATTAGCTGTCACAATGTCCTTTTGGTGACTAGATGACAAAATTTTTTTCAACAAGGGAGACAATCAAAATATTCAACTTGAACTGAAACAAATCTTGGCATTCCATAGGGTGGACCATTGAATATCATTATTATCATTGAATAAAATCCTGTTTTTCGCAAATAGTGCAACAAAATACGCAGTGGGCCACCTACACCTAACAAACAAATCAAAAGCAAATTGCATGATTCTCTTTTGAAAAAAATCTGCAAAATGTTCTGAACTCACCATGATGGAACTTCAGGTAGTTAACTGTGAGTTTGAGTATCTGTGAACGGTCTACACGGTGGTTTTTGTCAGAAATCCAAGGTATTTCCTGGGCAAGGACAGACAAATACCTCTTCATTTTGTCTCGCCTCAGCTTTTCCCCAGCTTTTCGGGACAATCTAGAATATTACATAATACACTGGTTTATGCTACGTCAAATTTATCACCAAATGGCCCAATGGATATGCAATACTCACCATTCAAAGTCAGGAAGGTCAGATTCATTAAAAACAGAATCTTAACCCCTTTAATGTCAATCCTCACGTGATCACATTAGAACAATCCTATTTCTAATCATTTGGCCCTTGAGACCTTGACATTTGGTCAAAGATATTGATCTGTACCATATAGCCTTTCAAATATTGGACAGGCAAAAGAATATGATCTTTGAACTCTTTTATAACAAACTGCATGACCATTCAAAAGGATTCATGTACATGTTTGAACATCTTTTGTCCTTTTTTGCTTCAAATGTTGTTTTTTTATTTTTTTTATAAACCTGTAGTCATTCTTCTCAACAAGCTACTGACTCATACAATGACTCTGCGATGGATGGTAATTAAAAAATGAAATTTTGACAAGTTTACCTGTTGTAAATCTAAAATATTGGCCATTCATGTCAATCACTTGCAAAAATTTGAAAACATTTCCTCCAAGCAATTTTCCTTCCGACACCGTTAAGAAGACATACAAAAAAATACAAAGCAGAGATATCAAATCAAAAACACAATCATAAAGACCAAGTAAAATCAATACATAACATGCTTGTAAGACTGATTCCTTTGTGAGACTAATTCCTTTGTAAGACTGTCCTTTGTGAGACTGATTCCTTTGTGAGACTAATTCCTTTGTAAGACTGTCCTTTGTGAGACTGATTCCTTTGTGAGACTGATTCCTTTGTAAGACTGTCCTTTGTGAGACTGATTCCTTTGTAAGACTGTCCTTTGTGAGACTGATTCCTTTGTACCTGTGAGACTGATTCCTTTGTGAGACTGATTCCTTTGTGAGACTGATTCCTTTGTGAGACTGATTCCTTTGTGAGACTGATTCCTTTGTGAGACTGATTCCTTTGTAAGACTGTCCTTTGTGAGACTGATTCCTTTGTGAGACTGATTCCTTTGTAAGACTGTCCTTTGTGAGACTGATTCCTTTGTGAGACTGATTCCTTTGTGAGACTGATTCCTTTGTGAGACTGATTCCTTTGTAAGACTGTCCTTTGTGAGACTGATTCCTTTGTGAGACTGATTCCTTTGTGAGACTGATTCCTTTGTAAGACTGATTCCTTTGTAAGACTGTCCTTTGTGAGACTGATTCCTTTGTGAGACTGTCCTTTGTGAGACTGATTCCTTTGTAAGACTGTCCTTTGTGAGACTGATTCCTTTGTGAGACTGATTCCTTTGTGAGACTGATTCCTTTGTGAGACTGATTCCTTTGTGAGACTGATTCCTTTGTGAGACTGTCCTTTGTGAGACTGATTCCTTTGTGAGACTGTCCTTTGTGAGACTGATTCCTTTGTGAGACTAATTCCTTTGTAAGACTGTCCTTTGTGAGACTGATTCCTTTGTAAGACTGTCCTTTGTGAGACTGATTCCCTTGTAAGACTGATTCCTTTGTGAGACTGATTCCTTTGTAAGACTGTCCTTTGTGAGACTGATTCCTTTGTGAGACTGATTCCTTTGTGAGACTGATTCCCTTGTGAGACTGATTCCTTTGTAAGACTGTCCTTTGTGAGACTGATTCCTTTGTGAGACTGATTCCTTTGTGAGACTGATTCCTTTGTGAGACTGTCCTTTGTGAGACTGATTCCTTTGTAAGACTGATTCCTTTGTGAGACTGATTCCTTTGAGAGACTGTCCTTTGTGAGACTGATTCCTTTGTGAGACTGATTCCTTTGTGAGACTGTCCTTTGTGAGACTGATTCCTTTGTGAGACTGATCCCTTTGTGAGACTGATTCCTTTGTGAGACTGATCCCTTTGTGAGACTGATTCCCTTGTGAGACTGATTCCTTTGTAAGACTGTCCTTTGTAAGACTGTCCTTTGTGAGACTGATTCCTTTGTGAGACTGATTCCTGATTCCTTTGTGAGACTGATTCCTTTGTGAGACTGATTCCTTTGTGAGACTGATTCCTTTTGAGACTGATTCCTTTGTAAGAGACTGATTCCTTTGTGAGACTGATTCCTTTGTGAGACTGATTCCTTTGTGAGACTGATTCCTTTGTGAGACTGATTCCTTTGTAAGACTGTCCTTTGTGAGACTGTCCTTTGTGAGACTGATTCCTTTGTGAGACTGATTCCTTTGTGAGACTGATTCCTTTGTGAGACTGATTCCTTTGTGAGACTGTCCTTTGTGAGACTGATTCCTTTGTGAGACTGTCCTTTGTGAGACTGATTCCTTTGTAAGACTGATTCCTTTGTGAGACTGATTCCTTTGTGAGACTGATTCCTTTGTGAGACTGTCCTTTGTGAGACTGATTCCTTTGTGAGACTGATTCCTTTGTGAGACTGATTCCTTTGTGAGACTGATTCCTTTGTGAGACTGATTCCTTTGTAAGACTGTCCTTTGTAAGACTGTCCTTTGTGAGACTGATTCCTTTGTGAGACTGATTCCTTTGTGAGACTGATTCCTTTGTAAGACTGTCCTTTGTGAGACTGATTCCTTTGTGAGACTGATCCCTTTGTGAGACTGATTCCTTTGTGAGACTGATTCCCTTGTGAGACTGATTCCTTTGTAAGACTGTCCTTTGTGAGACTGATTCCTTTGTGAGATTCCTTTGTGAGACTGATTCCTTTGTGAGACTGATTCCTTGTGTGAGACTGATTCCTTTGTGAGACTGATTCCTTTGTGAGACTGACTGATTCCTTTGTGAGACTGATTCCTTTGTGAGACTGATTCCTTTGTGAGACTGATTCCTTTGTGAGACTGATTCCTTTGTGAGACTGATTCCTTTGTGAGACTGATTCCTTTGTGAGACTGATTCCTTTGTGAGACTGATTCCTTTGTGAGACTGATTCCTTTGTGAGACTGATTCCTTTGTGAGACTGATTCCTTTGTGAGAGATTCCTTTGTGACTTCCTTTGTGAGACTGATTCCTTTGTGAGACTGATTCCTTTGTGAGACTGATTCCTTTGTGAGACTGTCCTTTGTGAGACTGATTCCTTTGTGAGACTCATTCCTTTGTGAGACTGATTCCCTTGTTAGACTGATTCCTTTGTGAGACTGATTCCTTTGTGAGACTTCCTTTGTAAGACTGATTCCTTTGTGAGACTGATTCCTTTGTGAGACTGTCCTTTGTAAGACTGATTCCTTTGTGAGACTGATTCCTTTGTGAGACTGATTCCTTTGTGAGACTGTCCTTTGTGAGACTGATTCCTTTGTGAGACTGATTCCTTTGTGAGACTTATTCCCTTGTGAGACTTATTCCTTTGTGAGACTGATTCCTTTGTGAGACTGATTCCTTTGTGAGACTGATTCCTTTGTGAGACTGTCCTTTGTGAGACTGATTCCTTTGTGAGACTGATTCCTTTGTGAGACTGATTCCTTTGTGAGACTAATTCCCTTGTGAGACCGATTCCTTTGTGAGACTGTCCTTTGTGAGCCTGATTCCTTTGTGAGACTGATTCCTTTGTGAGACTGTCCTTTGTAAGACTGATTCCTTTGTAAGACTGTCCTTTGTGAGACTGATTCCTTTGTGAGACTTATTCCCTTGTGAGACTAATTCCTTTGTAAGACTGTCCTTTGTGAGACTGATTCCTTTGTGAGACTGATTCCTTTGTGAGACTAAGACTGATTCCTTTGTGAGACTGATTCCTTTGTGAGACTGTCCTTTGTGAGACTGATTCCTTTGTGAGACTGTCCTTTGTAAGACTGATTCCTTTGTGAGACTGATTCCTTTGTGAGACTGATTCCTGTCCTTTGTGAGACTGATTCTGATTCCTTTGTGAGACTGATTCCTTTGTGAGATTGTGATTCCTTTGTGAGACTCCTTTGTGAGACTGATTCCTTTGTTAGACTGTCCTTTGTGAGACTGATTCCTTTGTAAGACTGAATAATTTGTGAGACTGATTCGTTTGTGTGACTGATTCCTTTGTGAGACTGATTCCTTTGTGAGACTGATTCCTTTGTGAGACTGATTCCTTTGTGAGACTGTCCTTTGTGAGACTGATTCCTTTGTGAGACTGTCCTTTGTGAGACTGATTCCTTTGTGAGACTGTCCTTTGTGAGACTGATTCCTTTGTGAGACTGATTCCTTTGTGAGACTGATTCCTTTGTGAGACTGATTCCTTTCCTTTGTGAGACTGATTCCTTTGTGAGACTTCCTTTGTTGATTCCTTTGTGAGACTGATTCCTTTGTGAGACTGATTCCTTTGTGAGACTGATTCCTTTGTGAGACTGTCCTTTGTGAGACTGTCCTTTGTGAGACTGATTCCTTTGTAAGACTGTCCTTTGTGAGACTGATTCCTTTGTGAGACTGTCCTTTGTGAGACTAATTCCTTTGTAAGACTGTCCTTTGTGAGACTGATTCCTTTGTGAGACTGATTCCTTTGTGAGACTGTCCTTTGTGAGACTGTCCTTTGTGAGACTGATTCTTTGTGAGACTGATTCCTTTGTAAGACTGATTCCTTTGTGAGACTAATTCCTTTGTAAGACTGTCCTTTGTGAGACTAATTCCTTTGTAAGACTGTCCTTTGTGAGACTGATTCCTTTGTGAGACTGATTCCTTTGTGAGACTGTCCTTTGTGAGACTGATTCCTTTGTGAGACTGTCCTTTGTGAGACTGATTCTTTTGTGAGACTGATTCCTTTGTGAGACTTATTCCCTTGTGAGACTGATTCCTTTGTGAGACTGTCCTTTGTGAGACTGTCCTTTGTGAGACTGTCCTTTGTGAGACTGATTCCCTTGTGAAACTGATTCCTTTGTGAGACTGATTCCTAACTCTTTTATGACGGCAGATAAGTGGGTCACAGTACATTATATGGCACATCTATATACATGTATCAACTTTGAATAAAAATAAAAACAAAAATAAATCATGAAAAAAATTACTTTACTAACCCATAAAAAGTTTACCTACTTTTTCATGTTGTCCTTGTCCTCATGGTGTTGGCATTTCTCTTTGTCCTTGCCATGAATGGGGCTGTTAAGCACATAAACAGATTTACATGAGACACCCAATATTTTGGGCAGTATTAAACAGAAATCATTATTTACTATAAAAAACTCATCTGCTCAACAATAAACAATTAGGTAGAGATTATACAATGAGTGGTTGTCATGTATGGTATTTCTTCCAATGGTTGCCCGTCAGCCATTTTGATTTTCACTTTCAACACAAAAAAAGGCACAACAAGGGAACTTGCATTTGAATTTTGAATGACATCCATCCAGTACTTTTCAAAAAACAGCAATATCAAACATTCAATGTCAACATGGCTGCCTGTTAGTCATTTTGCTTCTCTGATTAGTCTGAAAGGAAAAGGGCACAACAAAGGGTAACATGAACCTAGATCAGAAACTTCTCCAGAAATAATAGTTATCATTATGAGTAGCAAAAAATCAAGACGGCCTCCTGTCAGCTATATTTTTCCCCAATCTGTCTCATAACTGGCCATGCAGAACTAGGAACAAAGGCCTAGCTTTATAAGAAATCTGAAAATGATCCACTAAACACTTTTCCAAAAAGAGTGATAAAAACCAATATGACTGTCAAATTCAAAATGGTCACCTGTCAGCCATGTTTTTTTTTTTAAATCAGGCACAAAATGGATTATGGGTAACTTGGGACTAAGAGGCCTAGTACAATCGCAATGTAATCGAACAAGTAGACACATGTAACATACTTGTACATGTATGTGTAGGATTGATTCAGCTGTTTACACTCCAATCCACTGTATATTGTGTTCACATCATGGACAGGGTTTCATTTAATTGTCTAGTCTCTCTGACAATCCATCCACTATTCGTCCTTCTTTTCTTTTTCTTTTTTTTTTTTATCACCGACAATCCTCAAAAAGACCATTTTTAAACCATTGATGATAAAAAAAACACCTCAGGTTGATAGAGTTTGTCTAGATAAACATTAATAAATTTTACCTAAAACTGGGTCAGCCTAGAGTCATAATACAGCCATACACACAAGGGCATGTATGTATTCTGATGTACCCCATAGCTTGACAATAATCAGAAAACAATGACATAGCTTTTCATTCACAGACCGAGATATTTTCAACAACAAAACTCCAATAATACATGTGTAATAGAAAGGAGTACTGAAAACACCCTGTCATCACTGGGGTTCGAACTAGTGACCCTTTGGTCTCTAGCCAGACACTCTACCACTTGATTAAAGGGAAATTACCACTAGCTGAGACTTAAGTAAGGCAACCTGTACTCTCAACTTTAACTAGGTGATATGTTATCACTACACCCTCCTTCAAAAAGTCTTTGACCTCGAAGACAAGAACAACCAACATTCAATATCTCTAAGGAAGCATCTCAATCTCCTATAGCTTCTATCCTTGGAGTGGTCAACGGCACCAAATCCGTTATAGGAAGGAGTAATGAAAAAAACCTGCCACTGCTAAGGTTCGAACTTGTGACCCTTTGGTGTCTAGCCGAACACTCTACAGCACAACTACAGGTAAATTCCCAGTACCTGAGGCTAGTAAGACAACATGTACTCTCAACTTCTACATATGTAATATCTACTTTTGAACATAAATTAATTAATTTATCCAAACCATGCACCAGAAACCTTTTGTCAGAGAAAACACAGGTGATCATGAGTACATTCTAAAAAAACTTTTGATTTTCTTGTGCTCGGTTCTACTGTGAATGTCCATTGGATTACACTGTGCAGTGTGCGGTTTATTGAATTGTAAAAAAATATTCTAATTTTTTTCAAATATATGCATACATGTCATGGTTATTTTATTGTGAATATGCAATTTTGTCTGTTTTTTTTAATGAGTTACCTGTACACCGATGTGCGCATCCTCACAAAACCACTAATGTCCGTGTTATATGTAAGATCTATAAATAGCACCATTCAGCACTCTTATTAACAGCTGAATGTATTATATACCACGGGGCCTTTTCCTATGAATTATTAAACACATTGTTCATACAGTATATGCCTACATATGTATAATTTACACAAGCCTCTGTGATAACGAGATGACAACATGCACTCTCATACACCCATGCATTAACTTACCTGGGTGCACTCATGTCTCAGGCGATGACATTGACGGAGCCTGTTGCTCTTTGATTGCAAACATCAAAAGGACTTGATTTGTTTGTCAACACATATCGCGATTGTCGACCCTATATCCGGCTCCGAGATGTCAACGGAAAAAGACGGAAAGGACCGAACACTGAGATACATATACATTGTATGTACTAACTCCAAATAAAAGAAATTAAAGTATTGTACTACTGAGGACATAGAACACCGAAAAAAAATAGCTCTGATTGATGTGAAAGCTGTAAATGTTACACAAAATAAAGAGTTTAAAATATTAATTAAGACAGAAAAAATAAAGAGTTATGCGGATAAACTTTCATTACTTGAAATTATGTAGCTGGATATTTGGAATATGCATCAAACATTCTTTAAGATTACAAGGGTTGAGTATTGCTAATACACTGACACTTGCTTAGAACACGGATTGTAAGTCCGTGTTCAGACTATTGCGATGAAAAAAATAATATTAGGACCAGTTTTAATCCCAGTAATCAACGTGGAACTTAATTGATTTTTTTTTGTTATTTTTTGTTATTGTATGGAACACCCACACTACACACATAAAGGCAAATAGTCTAGAAATTAGATCGTTATCTGGGGAGTGTGTATTCACAGAATAGATAACGTATGATCAAATGTGAGTCTGTAACAGGTATGAAAATCGGTCGACCACGAACTCTTATTGTTCAGCATCACTAATTTGATACTGTGTTAACCTCTCTATGCTGTTATGTACAGGTAAATTTTTATCTCACATTAGCTAAATTTAACCTTAAACGACAGCTTTCCGCTCTTGGTGGGATTTTTTTTCGATAAGACCAATTGGATGGAGAAAGTGAAAAAGGTCATTCGAACTGTTTGTTGTGGAAAAGGTATCACAAATTCCTACACAGAAAAGGGCGTTGTTACTCCACTGTGCCGGGAGGAGATAGCCACCCATCCACAGAAAGCACCATAGATGCTAACTACAAATACCTCTGTCCATTCCATATATAGGTTTAAAGGTCTTTTATCACTATGCAGTCGACAATTTCTGACGGTTTAGTCCGTTTTCATAATTAATGTAATTAATGCATATGTTTATCAGTTCATATCCATATAATACGAAGTAATCTATTTATGTAATGTATATATGTATATATTTCAAAATATATTATAATTACGTTTAAAAATATACTTATTCTAAATATGTATATATATTTTTTATATTCTCATGAATACTTATATCAATACTTGTCTATAGATTACGCAACTGTATGCATGTATAACGAATATCGGCCTTTTATATCTTTCCGTCCGATATATACACTGTATCTACTGTAATATTACCTGCAACTTTGTATTATTTGTTGTATCCCTTGTTCTCATTTGTGAACGTGACATTACTTACTTGGATTGACCAAAGTTTACATAGCGGGTGTCGTCGATGAAGCAGGAGATGCTTACTCTTCCGCGACACCTGGTCTTATTCTCCTTGAACATTTTTTATGGGTCTCCGTGTAAATTTTTCTTTTGTTGTTATTTTGTCTCAGTTTTATTGAATTTGAGTTTGGATTATGATTATGTGGACATGCTTCATGCTTTTTTTTGTATTTCCTCATGTAACACTTTATATGTGTCTGAGTGTTAATCAGATCTTGAAAATCTTGGTAAACAGTTCCTCCAACATGATGTGAAACTTGAGGACATTGTTAAATCTTGTGTATTATCTGGATATCAAAACAAAATACAAGTTTGTAACATGAAACTTTCGTCAAAATACAAACGTCCGAACTGTCAGTGTACAAAGGGGCTTAACTTGTATAAAGGATATATTGGGTCGCATGTGATAGTGTATTGTGGATTTTCCTTAAATTTGTCAGAAGTATAACATATGATTATTCACAGTTCCTAATTGATATCTAGGCTAAATTTAATTATAATAACATGATATTTCGATGCTATAAAGTAGTATTGTGTAGTATTTGGTGGTATCGGGGTAGTATTTGGTGGTATCGGGTTAGTATTTGGTGGTATATGGTGGTATTGTGGAGTATTGGGTAGTATTTGGTGGTATTGGGATAGTATTTGGTGGTATATGGTGGTATTTGGTGGTATTGGGTTGTATTTGGTGGTATTGGGGTAGTATTTGGTGGTATTTGGTGGTATCGGGTTACTATTTGGTGGTATATGGTGGTATTGTGTGGTATTGGGTAGTATTTGGTGGTATTGGGATAGTATTTGGTGGTATATGGTGGTATTGTGTGGTATTGGGTAGTATTTGGTGGTATTGGGATAGTATTTGGTGGTATATGGTGGTATTTGGTGGTATTGGGTTGTATTTGGTGGTATTGGGGTAGTATTTGGTGGTATTTGGTGGTATCGGGTTACCATTTTGTGGTATATAGTGGTATTGTGTGGTATTGGGTAGTATTTGGTGGTATTGGGATAGTATTTGGTGGTATATGGTGGTATTTGGTGGTATTGGGTTGTATTTGGTGGTATTGGGGTAGTATTTGGTGGTATTTGGTGGTATTGGGTAGTATTTGGTTGTATTGGGTTGGTATTTGGTGGTATTGGGTAGTATTTGGGTATATGGTGGTATATGGTGGTATTGGGTGGTATATGGTGTTATTGGGTGGTATCGGGTAGTATTGGGTATTGGGTGGTATTTGGTGGTATTAAGTAGTATTGGGTGGTATATGGTGGTATATGGTTGTATTGGGTAGTATTTGGGTATTTGGTGGAATTGGGTAGTATTGGGTGGTATATGGTGGTATATGGTGGTATTGGGTAGTATTTGGGTATTTGGTGGTATTGGGTGGTATCGGATGGTATTGGGTATTGGGTAGTATTGGGTATTGGGTGGTATTTGGTGGTATTGGGTAGTTTTGGGTGGTATTTGGTGGTATTGGGTAGTATTTGGGTATTTGATGGTATTGGGTAGTATTGGGTGGTATATGGTGGTATTGGATGGTATTTGGTGGTATTGGGTAGTAT